CAAAGGGGAAACACAAAAAAATGATTTCACCTAGGGCCCAATGTCGTGCACCTGGATGCTCATCTGACGGTAATTTAATGCCTAAAACCCCTAAACCCCTGTGGGCTCCGCCCCCTGGACCCCACACCAATTAGTGACCTACCAGTGCCACAAATAAGGTATCAAAATATGCTCATCTGGCGGTTATTAAATGCCTAAAACCCCTTGACTTCTGGTGGCTCTACCCCCTGGACGCCACCTAGGGCCCTAAGGCAGACGGCTGGATGCTAATCTGACGGTAATTTAACGGTTAAAACCGCTGAACATGGGGTCTCGGCCCACTGGACCTCACGCCAATTAGTGTCCTGCCAGTGTCACAAAATAATAAGGTATTAAAATATGTTCATCTGACCGTAATAAAATGCCTAAAACCCCTAAGTTACCGGGACTCCACCCCCTCGACCCCACAAGGGGCCTTAAGGCAGGCCTCTGCATGCTTGTCTGACCAGGTAAACCAGAGGACAAGATGTTTGGCAATTTTCAAAATTCTACTTTCCTTTTTTTTAATTTTTTTTTTTTACCCTTCTTGATACTCTTTGTACAACAATTCAACAAGCCAAGACTGGTGTAACATTCAGTGTGTGTAATGAAGCACCAATGATGGTAAAATAAAAAGAACTGGCAGAATCCAAAAAAGAGAGATATGCATATACAACAATCTAATTTTGATGAATTCTTTGTAATAATTTATTCAATTGTATACAAAAAAGCACCACAGCTCTTAGACTGTAAACAGCAAATAAGAACAAATACAGAAACTAGCTCTGTGGACAAAGATGGTTCTTCGTTCTTTTCATAGTGTGGCTTGATTTTCAATTTATTACCATTTATGCTGCAAACCCAGGCATTAGAAGGAGGATGGGATATTTCTTTCCCATAGGGGATATAAAAAAGATTTCTTTGGGCAGTTACAAATTTATAGATAGAAATTACATGAGATGTAAAGAATAATAAATACCAACTACATCATTCTCTTTAAGCTTGTAGGGTGAAAGGATATACACTGTATGAACATGGCTCATAATTGTTCAAAGATCTCTTTTTGTTCGTAAACCATGAACATATTCTAATTTATTCAGATATGTGAAGGTCAATGGAAATTGCTGCTCATTTCATATATCAGATAGTTTTTAAAATAGCAGTAAAGAAACATATATTTCATGATGGTGCAGTTCTTACATGTAATTCATTTTAGGCAAGTACAAATTTATTTCTAATAGGATAGATTAAGCCTCTACTCGAGAGAGAACAAATGAATAAATGTGGATTACTTACGTTTTGGACAATCAGTCCTCTGTGAATTGAAATAACGACAGGGTAAATATCATATTCCTCGTACAGTTGAAATTATATATCAAATCCTTTTTACACGAAGAAATTAGAAGTAATTAGAAGTTTAAATACTTTTGAACCAACTTACGAAAGGCGATCTTTTTTCTTTCTTTTTTTTGGAAGAAATTTAAGACAGGATGATGTGCTCTTCCTGTTGACCTACATGTATGAAACCATTTGTAGTCATTGATAAATATACAACTCTTCCATGTGTGGAAAGCAATATGCGAAGTTGACCTGGGGAAAAAGTCTTCCAACTAGTTCTTCAACTTTAAAGGTTGGATGCAAGGTTTCAATAACTGTTCTAAAGAGCTGAATTGAAAGTGCATACCTTCAGTATGTGTTGATGAAGCCGGTTTTTTGATGACTTTCCTTTTGACATGCGCTTTTTGTGAGACGAAGTTTTTACTGATTCCAGAACAGGTTCGTTGATACATGAAGCAGTAAAATGCTCTGGCAAAGTCAAAACCATTTTACGTGTTCATAGGTGGAAAGTTGGGATGGACAGGAAAATTGCAGCATGTAACGTTGCGAACTCACTTATCTCTGTGTGATAAATACAGAGGGAGGTACTACGCTTCCAGTATATGTCATTGTACTTTGCCACAAGTTTGCCAACACAGTTTGCCAACACAGGTGCAGCCTATTTATATAATGCATCCCACGAAAACTCAAGAACGCCTATGAAGCACACGTACTACTATAATTGTATTATATTACATTGAATTGTATTGTATTGTAATGTAATGATGATGATAATAATAATAACAATAATAACAATGATAATAATAACAATAATAATAACAATGATAATAATAACAACAATAATAATAACGATACTCATAATAATAATAGAAATAGGCTGCACCTATTAATATCCTTCGTCGTCATTCGCCTCTCACATCGAATCTTAGTCGGTGAATGACTTACACTTAACATTATAAACCACGGCGTATCGTAGCTCGCCTATCATTGGTGCCATCTAAACCACGTGATCATTAAGACGGTAGCCAATCAGAGCACGCCTCTCGTCGTCTGTAGCTTTATACAAGATGCTGGAACCACGATCACAAGGAGCACTAGACACTACGACAAGCTGTGACCGCAAGTGTTAGCTACCAAGCACGCACTTGTTGGGCAGAGTAATCCTGTTAAAATTATAATTTTGAAGATGACGTCATTTCGGCCTCGGCCATCAGAAACCTTCTGATAACGTCTCAGCTCTGTCTTTATGATGCATTACATGAGTTACATCAATTGTTTATATGGTTAATATCTGTGATAAATATAACTCAATATAACTTCACTTTTGACAGGAGTATAACTTGTGTAACAGCTGTTAGAGTTGTATCGTTACAGTATCGTAGCAGCTTCTCAATATGTGGGCAATACTGGTCACGATATGTATACTTATCGTAACTAAATATGAAAGAAATTCTTGCGTTATGATTACCTGATAATTATAATTGGGGGGGGGGGCGATGGATAGAGATAGTTATCCGATAATATTTATGGATATCATAACTCTATCACAACTATATTCTTTCTTTACCTTCATCAGTATGATCAGGTAGGTCATACGAGCATAAAACGGGAACGCCTACTTCAGACTTCGCGACTTTTTAACATGTGGTATTCCAATATTCCACTTCAACATAACTGGAATCAGAAAGAGCGTGTAATAATATTGACATTTCTGTACGATTTCTGTATAAAGTGTTTCAGGTTTTAATTGTTAAAATTACAAAGGAATGAACGACTTGTGAGCAGAATAGGAGGCATATTGTACGGAAGTGTTAACTTCCATTTGATATCAAATATATTCCCTTGTGTTCTGTAATAAATAACCGTTATAATAACTTATATGGTTTCGCGTGTTATTTTATTACTGGTTATATGTTTTTCCAAAAATAAAATATGACTTTCGGTTTCATCTGAAAACGTTCATTATTGTTTCCATGGGCATATTTATTTATTTATTTATTCATGTTTTCTTTATAAATAGATCTAGCTGAATTCGACCTCGCTTCTGAGAGGGGATAATCCGAGAGGACCGAGACATTCTCCATCATAATTTTTTTTAACAGGCGAGTTTCCAGATCCATTCCATCCTCGGGGTCTTCCATGTCCTTTCACTTTACCGTCCGCTATATCAAAATGTGAAATTTACGCTGAGGTTAAGACAAGTAAACTGTTATGTTTGGTCTGTCCTATTGTATGGAGCAGAAACAAGGACAATAAGCAAGGCCATGGAAAATAGAATAACATCTTTTGAAATGTGGATTTACAGAAGAATGATGAAAATTTCCTGGAAACGAATGAAAACCAACAAAGAGGTATTGCACATGGCAGGGCGTAAATAAATTGCACTGGTAGGATTAGTTAAGGAGAGGAAAGTCAAATACTTCGGTCATGTTAAAACGCACCAAAGCCTCTTAAAGGATATGTTGGAGGGAAGAGTGGAAGGAACTAGACCGAGAGGGAGACCCAGAATCAACTCGGAAGAGAATGTCAAGAACTGGAGTGGACTAAAACTGCGATAGTGCACCAGAATGGCAGAAGATTGATCCAGAGTGAAATGGAGAGATGTTGCCGTCAACCTCCGAACCGGGAGAAGATACTTAGATAGATATCATAATAAGCAAATAACTACCATTGGTGAAGGTGATGGGACAAACTATCACTTCCGAGGCGATCTGGATGTAGCTATATTTCCGAAGCGAAGCTGATGAGGAAAGATAGCGTATACATTCCGATCGACGAGGAAGTGATAGTTTGCCATCGCCTGAAACCAAAAAGTGATTATTTGCTTTATATTCCACATCTAAAACAATTTAACTACAAAAAGAAAAGGACGTGTATGCATCTACATGAAAGACACCAACACCAGGCCCAAATTCGCACCAAAAAAAGTTAAAAGTTTAACCCAACCCCTTGAGGGTACGGTACGCGCATGTGTTTGTGCATGTAATTGCGCTCATTGGTAATGCGCGCTTAATTACGCCTGTTTTAGTGCGCTTTTGAAAAATCTTCAGTGAAAGTGCGTTGCCCTGTGTAGATAGTACCTCTATCTTCAGTGAAAGTACGTTGCACTGTGTAGATAGTAGTACTATCTACACAGTGTAACGAACTTTTCGCTTCTCCCATCAATAATGGGCGAACTATCTTGCATCACGTGATTTACTTTTGACCAATCGTAGAGCAAGATTCTTAGAATGTGAAATATAATGTATTATATTGGCTTAAACAAATCAAACGAAACTTGCTGCTGACTCTAAATTGCGTGGTTACGTGCACACCACCACGTTGATCCTCTCGCGTGTGATTTTATTACTGGTTATATGTTTACCCAAAAATGAAATATGACTTTCGGTTTCATCTGAAAATATTCATTATTGTTTTCCGAACCTTTATTTTAGTTTTGATTACTAGTTAAAATATGATAACCACAATATTTTAAGTAAAAGAAATTCGAGCGCCTTTTCACAGCTAAAAACTAGGCTGACCGTCTGCAGCAAAGGATAACAATTTGTGCTTCTATGAGCTTGTGTTAGCATATAATCAAGAGCGATATATTATCATCTGACAGAGGTGTACCTTTCCTTTTTCTGAGGTGATATATTGAAGTCATGGCAAACCGCTCAATTTTGTACCCATTGCTCGTCGCGTGTCTCCTCGTCAGCTCGTCCTTTCAATCTTTACATCGACACGATGGAGATTCGGCTATGCCATTCTTACCACTGGACGTGGACAAATCTTTCCATGGATGCGATCAAAACCTTGAACTGAAAGAAGCTGCTTGCAGCGATAAAGGCCTCGACACTGTTCCCCAGAATCTTTCTGAGGATACCGAGATTCTTGTCTTGTCTGACAACAATATCACCAAACTCTTGAACTCCTCGTTTGAAGTATACCCTCTAATTAAATCCTTGGACATTACTTTAAACGATGTAAGAGCGATAGAATCCGCCGCTTTTTACCCCCTCATGGGCTTAATGTACCTGGATCTATCCTTTAACCCACGTCTTGTGCTTCCAGCGACAGGAGTCTTCATGATGTCTTCACAGCTTTCCATTCTCGATTTAGCGGCATCATACACGACATCGCTCCCCAATGACATTCTAAAGTGGATTCCACATCTATATTATGCAGATCTTTCCTTCAACCAGCTTTCCTTCATTAATCTAAGTTCTTGTGGCATGGCCGACACTGTAGACATGAGAGGAAATCAACTACACAACCTTACGGCAAAAGATTTCACATTTCTGTGCCACACTGATACTCTAGATCTTAGATTTAACCCTATAAAATCAGTAGACCCTGATGTGATCGCATCACTACATGTTCGATCTTTGATGCTAGGTGGCTACCGTTTTAGTGACGAGGTGTTGGCGAACATCATCCTCGGAATTTCAAAATCAGACATCAAACTGCTTAAAATCGAGTATTGTTCTGTTGGTGCGTTTCCTAAAGGTTTCTTTGATCCTCTGAGCGATTCTTCTCTCTCTGTTCTGGAATTCAACGGCAACAATCTGACTAGCCTCCATCCTTTAGTCTTCTCAAATTTGACAAAAGTCAGAAACTTCAGGTTCAGTGATAACAAACTCCCCATAGACGAAGTTCAACCAGATTTTTTCGACGGCATGAATGCATTAAAAGTACTGGCAATCAACGACAACAAAGTAAGACAAATAAATACTCACAATCAGATTTGGACAGTGGACTTATCGGAGTTCGACTTATCCGGTAATCTGTTTACAGAAATATCTGCATCTGTATTTCGCGGTTTAGGAAGTTTAACTTTCTTAGACATGAGCCGGAACGAACTCCTTTCTGTCTTTGAGCTGACGGCCTTTTCGGGACTTGACAATATTCAAAGCATTAATTTGACCGGAAGTCGTTTAACTGTTCTGGAATTGTACACCCCAATATTAACATCACTTTCCCTAAACTCTCTCCGTTCACACCCTCTTCCTTTGCGACCAGGAAAATCGTTTCAACATTTACAATCCCTAGTTAAATTAGACATGAAAGACTCTCGGCTTGACATATGGAACATATGGACTGCATATAGAAACGAGTCTCTTTTCGATGGATTATTGCATCTTAATCATTTGGATTTGAGTAGTAACGACTTCCTGCATTTTGTATTTTCAGGTTTATTCAGGAAACTCTCTGTTTTACAAGAGCTAAAATTAGACTACTGCGATATTACAAATCTATATCCTCTGGTCTTCTCGGGGTTGGAATCGCTTGAGATGTTGAGTTTGAAAGGAAACAACATCCAGCATATTCATGATGATGTATTGTCGGGGTTGGGTCAAATAAAAAGTATCAACTTGGAAGGAAACCGTATCGAGTACTTGGAGGAGCTAATGTTCTCAAACAACTGGAAACTCACAAATCTTTCATTGGCCAACAACAGATTAACACGCCTTAATCAAAGCACTTTCAAGCCGATCTTTTCCTCTATTTCTTCACTTGATCTATCAATGAACCTAATTGATTGTAACTGTGACCTAAAGTGGCTTATTGATTGGTTAAATGAACCTAATATACGCCTGAAAAACAAAGACAAAACTATCTGTTCGTCAGCATCTCTGGAGCCTCTTCGTAAGAAACCCCTGCTTGACTTTGATCCAAATGAACTCTGTATAATAAACAATGGTCTATTCTCTCTGATTCCCCTCGTATCCATTAGCTTGATTGTAATCAGCGTGCTGTTGTATCACTACCGATGGCAGTTGAGGTACAAACTCTTTCTCTTGAAACTGGCCGCACTGGGCTATAAAGAGATGCGAGACGCTCGAGACCACAATGACTACGAGTTTGACGTGAACATCATTTTCTACGACGATGACGAAGATGACGAGGAATGGATTCGCGAAAAGCTCCGACCGGCTCTCGAAGAACGGCTTCCACAGTTTCAGAGGAACGTCTTTGGTGACGAAGATCTTGTGTTGGGTATGCATTACTTAGATTCCGTCGATTACGTGGTGAGCCATAGTTACAAGACCATCATATTGCTTAGCAGAGCTGCTGTGCACGACCACTGGTTTATACTTAAGTTCCGTACGGCCATGGACCACGTGAGTGACACTCTGACGGAGTTCGTAGTCGTGGTTTTCCTCGAAGACATCCCAGGTGATGAAATGCCATTCTTGGCGCGGTTGTATCTCAGTGATGGCAGACCCTATATTCACTGGACTGAGGACGTGAGAGGACAAGAATATTTCTGGGATGAATTGACCAAAAGTCTGACCATTAATCTAAGGACGAATGACTTGATCCCAAACGAGTAGTGCAGGAGTCTCAAATACGTACTTTCCTCGGTAATGAAAGTGGTAGTAGTAGTTGTAGTAGTAGTAGTAGTAGTAGTAGTAGCAGCATTTAGTAGTACAGTATGTATTTAAAGTTGTTGTAGTAGTAGCAGCAACCAAGCTCGGATCCAGGATTTCTTATGGGGGGGGGGGGGGGCCAAATTTGAAATTGTGCGTGCCAAATGTTAGTTACCTGGTTACCTGGTTACCACTAAAGCAGTGGCGTAATGAGCAAAATCGTTTGGGGGGGGGGGGGAGGGCAGAACAAAATCCGCACCACCACCACTCTTACATGCAGGCCCTGCTAAACGTTTCTCAAAGTGGGTGGGGGGAGGCTTAAGTATTTACGATCAGGTAGAGCGTAGCGTGGGTTTTAAGCGCAAGACCCGGTGGGGGTCAAGGGGCGGAGCCCCCGGGAGCTCAAGGGTTTTAAGCATGAAGTTACGGTCAGATGAGCATCCAGGGCCCCGCCTTAGGATCCTAGGTGGGATCCAGAGCCCCCGGAAGTTCAGGGGTTATAGGCATTTAACTACGGTCAGATCCCGCCGCCCCCCCCCCCCCCCCCCACTCTGGGGTCGGAATGACCGCATGCGTGTTACCAACATGTCCGGTAAAGGGGTACTTTTCACGCACCAAAGTCCGGCCCGTACATACACAAAATTGACTTTACACACCGGACTTAGGGGGTGTTTTCAAAAGAAGGGAACACCCATATGCGTACCCTAAATCACACTGAGTGGGGGGGGGGGGGGGGGGGGGGTCAGATGAGCATACTGGGATACCTTATTTGTGACACTGGTAGGCCATTAATTGGCGTGGGGTCCAGGGGGCAGAGCCCCCGGAAGCTCAGGGGTTTTAAGCATTAAATTATGGTCAGATGAGCATCCAGGGGCCCACCTTCCCCTGCTATCTTCTGCTAGTACATCCTTTCACGTAATGTACATAAACGAACGCAATATAATTCTGCTGTATTACCATTATGTTACAGATCTTTCAGCATCATTTACATGTAAAATCTTAAGATTGAGGATCTGTTTATTCATGTAATTAACATTCTTATCATTATTTACAATCGAAATCAGCAAAAGGTTCTTTGACAATCAGCCGTGCATGAATTTTTTTGTCTACGGCTGATTATCAAAGAAACGGAGTTATGTCATTTATAAATTCCGTTTGTTGCTACGGCAGGCAGCCAGTGAAACGAGTTCGATTAATACAATTATGGAAATTCAAGCACTACTTTAAACAAACAGAACTTTGTTATTCCTTGCTCATTTTTCCTGATTGAAACGTCATATGAAAGAGCAGAATCTCAACTTTCTAGAAATGTGATTTACCCTTTGAAATTCAGATACCGTCCGCCATAAGACCTTTTGATTTCCTCTCTTCAAATTGATTTCAATCACTCATGCGTGAACTATGCATCATATGAGATGCATCAAATGAAAGAGGAGGGTCTAAGCTTTCCAAATATGTGTCATTTATTAATTATAAATGTGACTAAGTTATGATAAAACATCGATAATGCTCGGTTTCGTTTTTTCTGGGACGCACTGTATACATGTATGTACATTTCTGTAAATTATGCCAGTCACAACAAAATTTGCTTGTTTTTAATAGCATTTTTAATACTTCACACAAACCTTCACATCGTTGTATGATAGTTCACCTTTTCAGTGTAAGACGCTGTTTCAAAGGAAAATAAAATCGTTTACAGCGAAATTAATGTGTACCTGAGTTTATCACAGTTTAGACGAAAAGGTCACAACTATGGATGTACGGAGCGAGAAAGGAAGAGGATGGGGTGTCCCCGTCCAATTTGAGCATTTTTAAACATGATAATCAACGTTGTAGTGAAAACAATTTGTAGTTTGTCAAAATATTAATGGCATTGACATCACCCCTTCCCCCATTCTTTTTAGGCCTCTAATAAAGCGGTGGTGATTTTTTGTTTTGTTTAATTATATATATTTTTTTAATTCTAGTCATGCTAGCTACTGTCCGCATTGATATGCTTTTCTCGAATTCTTGATCAAAATTCTTTATAGCATTAGTCTGTGCTAGATATTTCAATTGCTCCTTGAAAGAATATCTGCTCTATAGACATGCAATTATATCAGGCTCGCGGGAGTCTTCGAAACCTCAAACCCCTCCACTCCATCCCATCTGTACGTACATGACTTCGTGAATGTTATCAGCATAACTTGTATGGAAGAGGTTTAAAAAGCGTCACCATGACATCAATAGAAAGATAAATAGATTGAAAGAAAGGGGGAAGGAGGGAGGGGGGGGGGGGGGGGTATAGATGGTGGAGAGGAAAGCAGATACAGAAAGAATGGAGACGAAATATAGAGAAGATATATGAAGAGAGGGAGAGATCGAAAGCGAGATAGAAAGGAGAGAAAGAGAGAGATGTTGAAGAACGAGATATGTTGGGGAGGGAGAGAGAGAGAGAGATAAAGAGAGAGAGAGAGAGAGATGGTTAAGAGGAGGGGAAGATGGTAGAGAGAGGGAGAGAGAGAGAGAGAGAGAAAGAGAGAGAAAGATAGTGAATAGGAGAGAGAGAGAGAGAGAGAGAAATAGTGGATAGGGAAGAGAGATAATTATATATATTGGATAGGGAGAGAGAGAGAGAGAGAGAGAGAAAGAGAGAGAAAGATAGTGAATAGGAGAGAGAGAGAGAGAAATAGTGGATAGGGAAGAGAGAGAGATAATTATATATATTGGATAGGGAGAGAGAGAGATGGAGAGATAGGAAGGCAAATAACATTGAATTAATATGCATTTGACAGTTAAAAATACTTGATCGTCACTCGTACGAATTGAAACCATGATGTCGATAACTTTTCTTCCCTTGTTCCTACTCTTCTGAGTCTCAAGGCAACTTGAAGGTGAGTTTCATATCACTTGATCGTAGAGGACACGTAAAGTCAAATGTTTTTTTTATAAGACGAGCTTTCTTAATTTTATTTCCATATTTCTAATGTTACAAATACATTTCAAAATAAAGTACAAGCTTGTTGTTGCTGTAATGAAATAATAATCAATCCTACATAATAAATAACATGAAGATAAGTGGTCAATATAGAGTACTGATTTAACTGAGAGAATATGATGGGACCTTCATGAAAGCAAGCTTGTAAAGCTGTAGGCCCCGGTGAAATATTTTTTGGTTATAAATGGAGGAAGGATACATGTATAAATAGTGACCAATCCAAATAAATCAAAAAGTAATATCTGAGACCCTCTTCCTCACACGTGCTCTTTCTCTTATTCATTCACTGTTTACTGTTCGTGTATGGAGAATCATCTTGTTTGCATGCATTATAAAAAAAGAAAATATATTTATTACCCAAACACAAAGGAACATATACATACTAATGAATATCATTTGAGGGTATAAACGTTGACAATTTATTGTTTAAAAGATGAGAGTATATTACCATTATTATTATTAGGCCTATTATTTTCATTATTATTAACATAACTATTATCGTTATTGTTTCATTGCGATCATCCGTAACAAAAGTCTTAATAACCATTTAAATTCTCCACAAATTAACCAAATTAATCTCCGGAGATATAAAAACACCAGCTTGATGACTGAACCACACATATTTGACATTTTGAGTGTTCCATGTTAACAAACTCACTCAGTGTTTTTCACCCCTGAAAGATATGCACTGTACCCACATGAATTACAAATCGTATGTGATTGGATACAGGGAAATAAGTTTGTACCCTAATTTTAAGAGAACTAACTTGATGATCTCTAGTGATACGTTTAGTACTTTACCTGGTCAATTGTTAATGATTGGTTGTGAATTTAAAGATATATTGTTCACAAAAAAATTGTCTTCATATTGATCTAAAATTATAATGTAAAGTCCACTCCAATTTCTTATCTAAAAAAAAAAAGGAAATAGTAATGGAACGTAACGACTATAGTTTAAAGCGGGACTGCACTACTTGTAGCTACTTGCTCCCTCTATATGGCCAACAATGCATGAGCGGTACTCTTTGGTCCCCCATGGTCCCCTTTTTCTTATGTTATAATTGAGAGCTGATTTGATGAGATAACCACCTACCAGTGACCATGCAGGTAGGTCTAATCCCTCCTTGCCAAACAAGTGCAGAAAGGCTTTAATATACCCTGCCTGTGTGCGAGATCATTTGATATCCATCAATGATTTTCCGTTAATTTCAGTCTAAATATATACAAGAAACCAAAGCTTCCCACACAATAATTAATTCAGCCCTTTGCCGGGAGATAAACAGACCAGACAAGATAAACACGCATAACACATCGCAACCTCATATAGATCATATTCGTAAACGAAATAAATTCAACTCATGGCAAAGCTATACACCAATGATATAGAGTACATGTATATTCATGTTTCATGACAACGATGCTAATACATAATAGCAATAACAATACGAATAGTAATAGTAATAATAATAATAATAATAATAATAATATTGATGATGATGATGCTACAAAACTATTACTACCAGTACTACTTACAATAAATCAAACAAATCCTTGTATTAGTTAACCGACCGAAGTGATTAACTTGCAGTATTATCATTACCCGTTCATTTGATTCAATGTCTATCCTGCACTTTAGAATGTACAATTTTAACTCCACTCTGGGAGCATTAATTACAGCCAGTCAGCTGTCAACATGCATGCACACGCGCTTACAATCACATCGACTTTCGCATCCTACCAGGTACCCCTTTTAACACCTGGGTGGAGAGGAGCAAAGTAGAGAAAATGCCTTGCACAATGGCATAAGTGTCATACCGAGCCTAGAACACAAGCTGTTTGCAGTACCAGTCAAGTGATTTAACCATTACTACGACACCTCAATAATCATAATGACAAGGGGAGCAGGGAAAATCCCTAAATTCATAAAATAATGAGAATGGCGCTGAATCATTTGAAAAATGATGGATTAAGATATACGATGAGAACAGACAGACACACACACACACACGCACGGTGAGGTGTGGGGGTGATAACACTAAGCATCTGAATCATAGACTTGAGTAAAAATTTATGAAACAGTTGTAGAATAAAATCAAAATTAACCTAATGCTCTTGCATCAAGTTTAATAGTGTATATAATCATTAGCTGAACCTAAAGAAATACAGCTGCTTGGATATTTGACATTCCTATACATTTATTCTTGCAAAGACATTCCTTCGTATGGGCACATACCATTTGGCTACGTTATTTACAAATTATCAACAGACAAAATTACCAACTCATTTATATAAGACAAGATATTTTTCCCATTACAAATTAAGATTTAAAAAGCCAAACAAACCTTTTACATTATACATGCAACAATTCATACACAAAAGATATTGAACAAGAATACAGTGTTATATTTGTGAAGGAAAAGTGGTCTACATTTTGACCTTTTTGCAAGGGCAATAAAGGCCTACAGGAGGAGATACATTTCCTTATTTTCTATTTCTATTTCCATCTTCTCACAGCAATTAATCCCCTCCTTTACAGATCTCCAAACTCTGAAGATTTGTAAAATGTCCATGATTAACTGAGCTGGCTCTTCTTCCATTAGAACACATTTTGATTTCATTATGCATGTGTATGTTTAAAGTCCCTAATAGGGATTTGCAAGCCCTCAGAAACTTATGTCAAACTTTATGGCCCAAATTCACAAAGGAGGTTTAAATTTAACCCATGGTTTAAAGTCTCATTTACATAACACATAGTCTAAAATTAGCGCAAAATAAGTCCAATAGTAGTCCGACAGAGGTCCAATAGTAGACGCGCGCAAGGCAAGGTACGCCTCAATTTGCGCTTATTTTAAACCATGGGTGATGTAAATGAAGATTTAAACCATGGGTTAGATTTAAACCTCCTTTGTGAATTCGGGCCTATAATTTCATGTGGCAGCAAGATGAGTTTATGAAAGTGCGTGCTAAATTTGAAATAAAAATACTCTGTGTTTTTCTGTCTAGGAGGAAAAATTGAGTATTTTTTGTGTGAATATTCTGCTACCATACTCGTAAGAATGTTTCACTTATGATATTTTACACCATTTTGACCCTTTACAAGTTTTGAGATTTTCACAGTGCAAATCCCTGTTACGCCCTTTATCCCAAATGAATGTTCTTGATACTGAGATTAATATTTCAAAGGGAATTTAAAATCATTACTTTAACAAATCTTCAACAAAATAATGAACAAGAGCATCCGTGTAAAATCATATGAATATCAATGTGATTCGTTTGATGAACTTGATTGCATGACAAATTATATTTCTAATAGCCAAAGTCCGGATTTTGAATTATTAAACGTTAATAAGCTTATAATGATGTGTTTTATGCACTCTTCACTTCAGCCTATATTTCCTGTTTGCGAGCCAAGATCATCTGATCCGTCTGATTCATCAGATTGAGTACTGTGACATCATGCAAAATGCAGCTACAAATTCTTTACTGATATGAGAGAAGAGGGAGAGAGAGAGAGAGAGGTGTAATGTGTGCATCAACATAGAAGCAGCAATACATCAAAATCATCACATAGAGCAGTAGATGGAGGACAAAGAAGAGAGACTGTACACAGCTTTACGTCAAACAGAACCACTTCAACTAACATGTTATCTATTACGTAGAAAACATCATAACACAAAAACGTGAGAATCATTTAAATAAATAAATCTACATGTCACTTCGACAATTTAACCTACATCTTCCAATGGGCACATTGGAACATTCATCATTACAAATTTCCTATAGAATAATTATTTGTTATGTATGCGCCTTTTGTCAACTCTGTATTGTATTTTACACAGATTGATTTATGTGAGATCATGATTGGTACATATTGATGCCTGTCCCTATCATTCTCGATGTAAACAAATAATCATTGTAACTTACGCATTTTTGTATAATCATGCCAATAACATTTTGTTCATGTGAAACGATTCCCCCCTCCTCCCAAGACGGAAATAACTACATGCTTGTAAGATAATTAAAATACTTTGTTGTCTATTTCTGTATACCTAGATGTCATGCAGCCATTAAGGGCGATGCAGTAAAACCTCTAAGGACTTACCCACGTGGTATACCATGCACCACCTCCACCTCCATGACCTGATCTTTATTGCAAGCAATTGTGACATCATTCACGCTCTCCTCTGTCCCGCATCTTATGAATCTACCAGTATCAAGAGAGACGGAATACAGCATTGTCATTTGTGATTAGGGATTGGGGGGGGGGGGGATACTCCTGGAGTATGTTTGGAATATAGCTGGTAATGAAGATGCAACTTTTCTCATTCGCTTTATCATTTAGGTGGGGGGGGGGGGGGTGCGCACGTGTGCGGGATATACTTGTATTGTGAGTTGTGAAAGACACAGGGACCGGTAAAAATACTTGCAATAACTTCACACAAATTTCACCCATTTGTTTCGTCGGCTGGGACCCTAGTTCAAACTCAGAAAGTCGTAAAAACTTGCTGTCTTGTCACTAGATGCTCTAGTAACAATGAGGAGGATGGAGCCTTGGACGTCGACTGTAGTCTAAGGACTGCATAAAAATGGTCAAGATGCCTCTACTTTTTAAAATTTGATGCTACAGGACAGAAATGCTCATCACCGTGTGAAAAGCCAAATGACCCAATTTTACAATTTTCGTTCATAGACTCAGGTATTGTTAAATGGCTCATCTCACTCATGCGTGAATAGAATGATACCAATTGCATATCACCTTAAAGAGAAACAATTTATGTTTATTTTGATATATGAAAGATAAGTACAATTTAATTCTTTTAGTTGAAAATTTCAATTAGAAATAATGTCCATTTTTTGGCGGGCTGAGTGTATTGTAGAGATTAAAAAGGATAGGAGAGAGACATAGAGTGGGGAATTAAAAGGAAAAAAATAGTCAAAGTACTCTTTTTAATAAATGACATTATATACCTCACTTAAGAAATCCAGCCATCTGATTGGTCAAAATTGCAGTCATAAACTTATAACTATTCCTGTAAAATTCCCTGTAAAATTCCAGTTACCATGGTTACCGGGAAAATAGTTCAGTCTTGGTGAAATACCCATAGGTTCACATGTTAAAAACTGGTTTGAGCGATCGAGGATACCGTACGTGTGCGAAGAATTGGTCGGTATTTTTAATACGGCAATCTACGATAGAGGATACCGTACGTGTGCGAAGAATTGGTCGGTATTTTTAATACGGCAATCTCGATCGTAATGGCTGAAAAAACTCTCCCAAGATTTCAACTTCTTGATGATGATCAAATGCAAGACTTGCTGACAGCAAGAACATCAAAAAAGGGTACGTAAAATTCTCCATAATTTTTTTCCAAAATAGATCTAGTAGGCCTAGATTCTAGTAGTAGGCCTAGTGCTAAAATCCTTCCCGTAGAGATTGCACACATCCCTATGCATTGGCCATTGCGCACTCATGCTAAATTGGTCGATGTTTTAATTACCAGAGATTCAAACTAATATTGCTCGTGATCCTGAAGGTGATACTAAATAAGTGAGGTGTCATATGAAAGCGCAGGTTTTTCTCCATATTCCCCACAGGGCCGGCCCACCCCCAAAATTGTAAACATTTCTTGCTTAGACTAGAATCTAGATCTAGTCTACTCTCAAAGATACACTCATAAAAAACAACCATGCAGATAAACTAGAGAAAGGCCAAGGTGGTGTCATAAGTTGACTCTTTTTTTTGTTGGCATATAAAAGTATTAATGACTGCTTTAATATTCAAGAAATAGTATAGTATTAATGACTGCTTTGAGAGAAATAGTTGTTTTATTACGCTCAAGGGAAGGTTAGAATAGCCCAATTGTAACCTTCCCGAGAGCGTATGAAAACAACTATTTCTCGAATATTAAAGCAGTCATTAATACTTTTATATACCGAAAAAAAATAGACTAAAAAATAAAAAATAAAAAATAATTTACATTTTTGTCGAAGACGGGATTCGAACTCTTGCGTACAACAAGAGGTGTATCGAAAACCAACGCTTAGACCACTCGGCTATCGCGCGCCGTTAACATGCTTGGCAGTTTTCTCCAATATATACATTAAAATGGATTGAAAACGGCTCCGCGTGAGGGATGCTTCGCAAAAAGCTCCATGAAACGGACCCTTCTTTTACTTTTGCAATGCATATTGGCACGAACTTAGATCAAGATCTATCGGCAGATGTTGTTTTTTTGTTTTTGAGAGTTAATTTTCGTCTTCATGTCAACAATGCAAGATAAAATTGTCGGTAAGATCGATCGAGATTCAATTGTATTGAAATTGCCGACCAATTTTTCGCACACGTATGGTATCCTCCATCGCTCAAACCATTTTTTAACATGTAAACCTATGGGGTAACCATGGAGACTGACCTATTTTTTTAATAACCATGGTTATTAAAAATATTGAAATGTTTTAAGCATGGTTACCGGGAATTTTACAGGAACAGTTGAAGTTTATGAATGCAATTCGACCAATCAGATGGCTGGATTTCTTAAGTGAGGTATATAATTATTTTTATAATTGTAACCTTCCCGAGGGCGTATAAAAACAACTTTTTCTCGAATATTAAGCATATATTTAGCATGAGTGCGATGCGCAATGGCCAATGCATAGGGATGTGTGCAATCTCTACGGGAAGGATTTTAGCACTACTAGACCTACTTACTAGAATCTAGGCCTACTAGATCTATTTTGAAAAAAAATTATGGAGAATTTAACGTACCTTTTTGGTGCTCTTACTGTCAGTAAGTCTTGCATTTGATCATCATCAAGGATTTGAAATCTTGGGAGAGTTTCTTCAGCCATTTTTGCCTTCGGTTTGGAATTTAGTACGATCGAGATTACCGACCAATTCTTCGCACATGTACGGTATCCTCGATCGCTCAAACCAGTTTCTAACATGTGAACCTATGGGTATTTCACCAAGACTGAACTATTTTCCCGGTAACAATGGTAACTGGAATTTTGCCAGGATTTTAGAACTATTATTTTAGAATTATTACATGGGTTTGGAATTTTACCAGGGATTTTACAGGAATAGTTACAGTTTATGACTGCAATTTCGACCAATCAGATGGCTGGATTTCTTAAGTGAGGTATATAATTGTTTTTACACGCTCTCGGGAAGGTTACAATTGGGCTATTGTCCTCGGCACGCCTCGGGCAATAGCACAATTCGAACCTTCCCTTGAGCGTATAAAAACAACTATTTCTCTTAAAGCAGTCATTAATACTATAATATGTCTTACCTGATAATCTTCAGATGTTTGAGGTCGAGTGTTGATCTGAAAGCTTGTAAGATTAGTTCCATCTTTCTGTTACCAATGACAAGATCGCTGAATGTCACCTTGACAAGTTGAGGGGAGATATTCAGGAGGGCATTGGGTAGTGAAGTGGGCTCCTCGTGGAAACCAGCCGGTCGAATTACACTCTCATCTGTTTGAATGGTGAGTTCTGTTGCTCCTGGTAGATGGATCCTCTGGATGACGTCATAGTTGATCGTGCTCCCTACCCGTATAGTGACTCCCTTCACATTGTCAAACATCGAACCACAATCCTGCCATCCTCGTAGTGTCTCCTCATATACTGTCAGCTCAGTCAAGGTGTGGCTCGTGTTACCACTCTGGTCGTGATCATGTACATACAAAAAAAAATTGAAGTGCAATAGCAAATGTAGTAGGTTCAATTGTTGGTAGATATATAATTGCATTCTTAAGTTTCATGAAAAAAAAGTAACAGAAAGCATGAAAATGGATAATGCTAGCCTCATGGGTATTGTAGAATATAAACAAAGATTAAAAAAAGACATGAGCCGAGCAAATGCGAAAAGTCTTATACAAATGCAATTAAAAATGATTAAATAAAAATACAATCTTATATCACGATAAGTACATCAAACCTTTATCCATGTATATGGTGTGAATTAATAATATTACTTGAATTGTGATGTACAATGCCGTTTAAGAATGTCCGATTGAAACTTTTACTGCAGGATTAACAGATATTTGATATTAAACAGGTGCAATTATACCAACATATAATTGAGCGTTTGGAGTGATGTTTCATCATAACAGATTCTTAATCTTAGGTGTTATAAAGGATAACCTATCATGATGAAGGCAGGCGAAGTGGCCGTGTCCCCCATTGAAGAAAAAAAAAGGAGAAACAGTATACAAATGATGCACAGGTTTGAGTGCGTAGGTAAGGATTGTGTGCACAAGGTACCTTTGAATGGTTTGAACCCAGGAGGCGCAGCCGAGTGGGTTTTAGACCAAACTCAAAGGTACCGCGTGCACACAATTCCACCGACCCACAAATTAAACCTGTGCATCATCTGTTTTATAAGATGGGGCCCCAAAAATTGTCAAAAATACAAAATTTTGTTATTTTACAGATTTACCGGATGCATGGCAAAATCATGCGTCCGGTAATCAAAATTACCGGACGCATGATTTTTTTACCGGACACATGATTTTTAACTTATCATGAAATAAAAAAAAAATTTAAAAAAAATTGTCAGTGCACATTAAACTGTAAACTTTAAAAAAAAAAAAAAATTATAATAATTATCACCTAAAAATAATTTATCAAAAAAATCATAAAAAAAAAAATTAGAATTATTTAAAAAAAAATGATATCGGTGGTCTCGATCGCCGATATCGCGTGCATCCAGTAAAAATAATTACATGGTAATTGACCAATCAGATTGCAGGGATTCTTCTACCCATCTTATAATACTTTATAAACACCTTTTTTGCGTCTTGCCATCATGGTCATGTCAAATATTTGATGCATGTTTTACATGAAACAAAAATTCATTTTAACATCCTAATGCATTGTAACACCTGAAAATAAGAAGTACCATAAATATTAACACAATTTTTACTCTCTTTTCTTTTAAAAATTATATTTTACAAGTGTCACAGAAGGTTTTTTTGTTTGTTTATATATTTGAATCCCTATGGAAAACTTTTCGCTTTATTTGAATGTTCCACTACATTAACATTCACAAATATCTAGACAATTAAACATAAACATGTTTTTAATCAATATCAATAAAGCTGACCCATAAAGATGAATATTTGGAGGGCTTGGTTATCCAGTGGCGGATCAAAGATAATCTAGCGGAAGGTACTAGCCCTAAAGTTTGTGACAAGCAACAACAACAACAAATGCACCTCTAAATATTTGAAACAAAGTAAGAAAGTAACAAAGTAAAAAAGCTAGGCTTATCACATTTAAATGCCCTTGTGGGGGGGGGGGGGGGGGGGATTAAATTGCATAATTACGGACCCATTAATATTTTGTATTATTATGCCAGATTAGGTTTTGACAAAGGAGGGATGGGTGGCACTTGCCCCGACTCTAGATCCGCCATTATTTATCCCATGAAGTAATCATGTGGTGCCAGTGGTTATTCTTGTGATTAGTGTCTTCTAACCTCTGGAAAAAGAGCTGTTTAAATACCACCACCACCTCCACCATCACCATTATTATTAGTGTTGCAACATCACAGATATTTTCACGGATATCAGCTTCGACGTCAAATGCTCCGCGGACAGTTGCTCCGCCGACAATTGCTCCACCGACATTTGCTCTGCCGACAAAATATCTTTCATGGGTTATTGTTTGTTTTGGTGTGATTTGTTTTGTTGTTGTTACTCAGGGCCTTAGCCAGCATTTTGAGAAGGAGGATGCGTTTTAATTCCACTGATGGAAAAAAAAGTGATGAACCTTTGCAAAAGACGCAATCCTTTTTTTCGGGGGGGGGGGGGGGGGGAGCAAGTGCAGAAGCTTTTAAGTAACATATAAACTTTTCTCAACCTTGTGTCGACCTTCTTTCAACAAATAGTGATTTTTTTTCTTGAGCACAATATTATTTAAAGGTACTATGTCCCATTTGCAATCCAAATAAATAAAAAGGTTAAATTCCAACGGCATTTGAAAGACAATACTAATTTAGAGCTTCCCTAAAGAAAAGGGGGCTTGAAAATGTCTTTAAGTGGGAAAATAACGACTATTAGTTGCCGAAGCGACTTAGGAGCTATAGAACCAGTAAGTAATAGTCTAATTTTTTAGACCATTGTACCGAATGGTCGTACGTTTAATGCTGCGCAAAGATTCAATCAGTTTAATTTTGGCCATTAAAAGAAGTAAGTTATTGATGTAGACAAATGCTCATGTACCATTTACAGCTCATTTATGTATGTTTTTACCAAAGATGAAAAAAGCCAGTCAGTCACTCAATAGTGTCTGACAGTGAAGTCTAGCAAGTAAACGGGTTTCCTTGCATAATTTGAATATTAGAACACTGCTAACGTTTAAATTTCACAGATAGGACATACATGACATATTCATAATTCCTGCAAAGTTCTACAGAATTCGATGTTGGCTGCAAAAGGGACATAGTATCTTTAAGGTAATATTTATTCCCTTTTGGTATTAAAACAATGGTATATAGTGAGAGAGGGAGAGAGGGAGAGAGAGAGCTAAAAATGTAGACTTATCATTAATATTAAATGGCATTTTCCTGCTTAATTTCCCTCCTTATTTAAATGAGCATGTTTATACCATAAAATGGCGAGCGAGCGTTTTAAACCAAAGAATTAATTTCAACAATAATGAGTGTCTGTCAAAATGCGCAGGGTAAAAAGGCCAGTAAACCGCAATCAGCTGTTTAGGGAAAGGAATGCGATGCGTCCAAGCATGTAGTTGCCTAGTGCATTGTTATGTGAGTTGAAGGCATGGTTCGCACCACGTAGGCAGTGCGCTATAAGTCTGTGTAGCGTAAAGACTGAGTGAGAGTGAGCTGTACATGTACATAGGGCGTGGTGTGAGCTTGGAGAAACGTGTCAGGCTAATGGGTATTTGTTCTCAGAAATTACCTTAATATCCTTAATAAGCCACAAGAGAGAACCAAGCCTCTACAGGACCACGCCAATGCCGCTCTGCAGTTTTTGGACCGCGTACAGAGGAGATAACGTAAGTTCAAATATGACTGTTTGATTTTTACTACAATGATTTCCCTTATACATATCTATGTATGTTGACGGTGTCTGATAAAGTAATCATTTTGAAGATCTTAGAGTTTGAAGAAGAAAAGGTTAAACTTAATCAATAACTCTGCAGTTTACCTTATTTTACCATGGATGCATATCTCTTGAAGTTAAATATTGAAAGGGATCATTGAATATGTTATGTAACTATAGATGTTATGCATCAGTAAAAATAAGTGTGAAGTACCATATATCATTATGTAATTAGAGAGCCACAAGCTGAGGCTCATGTTTGTTGACAGTTTTACATGGAATGACTATCGGAAGGTTTGGGAACAAGGCGATGGGGCTGTAGACATTTCTCTACTCTATCATGTATGTATATGTAGAATCTGTATTATGGCTTACGTTTGTTAGTTTTTAAGGGGTTAACAAAAAGAGTAAATCCCTTTTTACAGCCATTCCTTTGGGCTTTACCTGGACACCAGGCCGCTAGTAATCGCCCGAACCGGATTCTCGCTAGCCGGGCTAGCATTCAGCGTCTTCACGGACTAGGGGTCACATGAAGGTCACCCAGCATCATGGCAAGCCGACCCAACGTAGCACAGTGGACAACGATGTCTTATGTATAGAGACTGAGTCAGTCGGACAACATTAAGCAGGCCATTCAGTTCATGTGAACATCAGCGCTTCAACTCAACCAGCCTTTTCACGTATTTTCTTGTATGTATCAGGTGCCTTGACCTAGTTCACTCCTGGTTATATTATTATTATATTTAATCTATGTGCTTTAATAAAGAAGCTTAGTATATGTTGATTTTATAATCATACAAAATTTGTGCAGATGCTGTTATTTACGTGTATGTCTTAAGTGGGGACTGGTGGTGACAGTATCATACAGAGTTTTCTTGCTGCGGGACGGATCAGGCACATTCATAGTTAAGGCGATGTCAATTTCATTTTTAGCAAGCGGGCGGTTTTAAGTTTATTTTATAATCGCGAGTTAGCGTAGCAAGTGAGCGTTTTTTTTGTTTATAACACTTCTCTTTTTATTATAATTATAGGCATATTTTTTTCAATAAAGTAATTGTGTCTTCTTGTCCCGTGAAAGGGAGGGCACAAACACATTTAATGGGACGTTGTTTTTTTTTAAAATTTTTAATTTGGCGAACAAAAAAATAATAGGTTATAATCTTGAATAGAATCTTTCTACATTACGCCCCTTTTGAATCAAATGGGCAAGTATTATTTCAGGATTATTGTTTATTCCTTGTTGGTGAGCGAGCTTTAATAGCAAATGGTCAAAATACTTTGGCTTGCCATTTCATATTAAAAAGCATCTGCGTGCCTAGCATTGCTTTTTAATCACTGATGTACAAAATGTATTAGGAACATAAACTATAGCGTAGCAAGCAAGCAAATTTTCATCCTTTTCATATAATAACTGAAAACCATCTGCCTGCCTACCACCCCTTTTCTTAATCAATGAATATTTCATGAGCATATAGGCCTATATAATATTTCATACTCCATTTTATTTCTCATTTTCCTCGCGCCGGCAGGATTTACCGTCACCGTTCCGACACAAGGTTTTAGGCCGATGCAAAAATATGGAAATTAAATCTTCCCATATTCTATTTTGTGTCCCTTTTCCCTTGTCTTTAGCCGTTTCTTTTCTTGACCTTTTCTTTTCCATGTTTTCTTGTCCTTTTCATTTCTTTTCTTTTCCTTTCTTCCTATCTTTTTTTCGCTGCAAAAGGGAACATTTGTCTTTTACGGGGCACTCCTGCTACGTCGGCTGAGCATTTGTCTTCAATGGGGTACTTTGGGGAAGGAGCAATGTTTTTTTAATTTTAAAGTGCACTTTTTGGGCGGAGCTGTCGGCGGAGCAAATGTCACAGAGCAATTGTCGCTTTTTTCGGAGAATTTGTCGGCAGAGCATTTGTCGGCGGAGCATGTGTCATGGATTCGATACAATGATATGCCTAATGTTCACATTTCAACAGTCCCTCCTAGCTATAGTTTTGAAAGAACTAATAGTAGTGATCAATTCTTCATCATCATAGAAGCCGTCTATTGCCATTTGTCAATATATTTGGATGATGTATAGTTTTGAAAAACTATTATGTTTACTATCAATCTGATAACGTTTGTCCGTTTTTGTGTTAGTTCGCTTTTATCATGCACTTCCTGAAACGTTCAACTTCTCCTACCTGCTTCCGCTTAATGGTTTACCAATAGGGAGAATAAAATTACCAGTTTTGTTTGACTGTACCAAAAAGAGTACACTTCCAGTATAACAAAACATATAGTGATTTGCTTAGATTCCTAAAATATATGATCAAATCAAAACCTTGGCAGATGATGCAATCGAAGATGATGTTGAGTAGAAGTCATCGTGGAACTGGCCGCAGAGTGTCAGGTTCTTCAAATGAGGCATCTTATAGATGAACTGAGTGAGATCACGTGATGCAGAGGGACGTTCAATGATACCCAAATAGTTGACATCAAGAGTCTCAATCTGTTATTATGTAATATTGTGATGAAAGAATATTTACTACAAACACACTCGACCTATATTAAAGATTCAGCAATCTGTTTAATATTATATAGTGCATCCCAGAAAAAACGAAACCGAGAATTATCGATGTTTTATCATAACTTAGTCACATTTATAATTAATAAATAACACATATTTGGAAAGCTTAGATCCTCCTCTTTCATTTGATGCAACTCATATAATGCATATTTAACGCATGAGTGATTAAAATGAATTCGAATAAAGGAAACCAAAAAGTCATTTGGCGGACAGTATCTGAATTTCAAAGGAAAAATCACATTTCTAGATACAGTAGTTCAGTTTCTGCCCTTTCATATGACACCTCAATCATGAAAAAAAAAATGAGCTAGGAATAACAAAGTCTAAAGTAGTGCTTGCATTTCCATAATTTGATTGAACAAATCCGTTTTCACTGGCTGCCTGCCGTAGCAACAAACGGAATTGACAAAAGACTTAACATCGTTTCGTTGAAGATCAGCCATAGACGAAATAATTCATGCATCAATTATAGTTATGACTAAGTAATGATAAAAGATCGATAATTCTCGGTTTTGTTTTTTATCTGGGACGATAAAAAATCTCAACTCATTGTATAGAGTACCGCAGCTGTGACATCATAAAAATCTATTTTTAGAATTTCTCAATTTTTTCTTCATTTTCCGAAAGAGCATCAAATATAATGTCCAAATGTTGAAAAACAATTGTCAGGAATAATACCAAACGAGTATGAAGAGGTATATATATTTTTTTTGTTGTTGTAGGTTTTTAAATTAAAATACTTAGTCTCATCATTATTAAAATAGCTTTCTCTCCATCACAATTCCGTAGCACTCCAAATTGCCAAATGAAATGAAAAATATGGTATACCGTATATTATTCAGTATCAATTTTATAATCTTCAGTATGGTTTAATTTGTATTATGACAGAAAGCTCACTTTTTGCATCCATATCTTGAAACGTTCAACTTTCCTACCTACTTCCTCTTAACCGTGTACAAATAGGAAGAGTAAAATTGCACACTTGCGTTTGACTATATAGGAAAGAGTACACCTCCAGTATAACAAAACATGTACTGATTTGCTTAATAGATTCCTAAAATATATGATCAAATCAATACCTTTGCGGATGATGCCATTGATGACGATGTTGAGTAGAAGTCATCGTGATACTGACCGTAGAGTGTCAGGTTCTTCAGATGAGTCATCTTAAAGATGAACTGAGCGAGATCATGTGATGGACAGGGACGTTCACTCATACCCAAACAGTTGATATCAAGAGTCTCAATCTGTTATTATAGTAACATTGTGATGAAAGAATATTTACTACAAACACACTCAAACTATATTCAGGATTCAGCAATCTGTTTAATAGTATACAGTAGGCTTGCGGGTGCACCATGTGAGAGAGAGAGGGAGGATTGAGAAGTCCTGAAAAGGACTCTCGGTAATCTTTCTTGAGGGTGTGTAGTCCTGAAAAGGACTGTTGGTGTAGTCTTGAAAAAGAGTGTTGGTTATCTTTCTTAGCTTATAGTTCTAAGGAGAACTATAGCGCTTGGAGAGGATGATTGGCGGGAGTGGCTCGACGTTTCAAACAGGTTGACTATCCGTCATCAGGAGTGACTACAGTAACAGTCCTTTTCAGGACTACACACCCTCGAGAAAGATTACCAAGAGTTCTTTTCAGGACTCCTCAATCCTCCCTCTCTCTCTCACATGGTGCACCCACAAGCCTACTGTATATCTACATCACCATGCAAAATGATACTTACAAGCAGCTGTTTAATATTATATTAATATCGTTCCCCCCCCCCCCCAAAAAAAAAAAAAAAAATCTCAACTCATCCGCATGTATTTTGTGATGATGTACAAGGCTTGACACCTGAAGTTGGTTCTAATTTCAATAGTTCCTGTTCTTTGTCATAGCCTTTCTATGAATATCCATGATGAAGAGTCTGCGGCAATGGTGCGGTAGTTCTGCGGCAAAACTAATTTGCATGTGAAAAAGATGTCTGTCTGCGGCAGGTCTGCCGCAGTAGTATGTGGCAGGCTCATATTTCTTTCCTATGGGTTGCTTTGCTGCCTAGTGCATGCTTGCATGCACGCATTCGTAATAGCAGTTATTGTTCATGCCCATTGCACTGTGCTGTGTGCTTTGCACGCGCTATTCATAGAACCATCTCGTTAATCAGATTATCTTAAAATAAACTTATGGCACTGGGGGATTCGGGGCTTGGCACAATGGGGATTAGCCCTGTGGCATGATAAGACTTAAAGGGACTTCGTAACAGTGTTCAAATGAGAGATAGTGGTGCTAAGGTAGTGACTTCAATGCTAGATGTACAATAAAAGATAATCTGAAATTTTGAATGAAAACGGACCATTATTAATGATGCAAATTTGGAAAAACTGATCTGATCGATTCCTCAATTCTCCCAACTATATTATTGCAATTTAACCACATTTTAGGTGAATGTAAATCATCACAAAGCAATAAGTTGGCTTTACATACCATTCCAGACATCTAAGTGCATGTTGACAGATTTTTTATACCGGTAGCCTGTTTTATGTCCTTTTTTCATGGAAAAGCGGTTGGGAAAAGTCAAAAATGGTTGGGAGAATTTACTGTTAATCACTGTTAGAGGGTGTTGCACAGTGACGCCTTCAATGAAAACCATAGATATCTTCGTGGTTTGAGATTTTTTTTCAGAGGGTTAGTACAGTAGAAGGAATATAATAAGTAACATTTTATACAAAATTAAGCAATTTTTTCACCAACCTTCAACAATGTTACCGAGTCACTTTAACGGTGTACCAATAGGGAAAGTAAAATTTTACACTTGCGTTTGACTACCGGTATAGGAAATAGTACACCTCCAGTAAAACATGTAGTGATTTGCTAAGAGTCTTAACAAATATTATTAAATCAATACCTTTGCAGATGATGCCATCGATGACGCTGTTGAGTAGAAGTCATCGTGATACTGACCGTGGAGTGACAGGTCCTTCAGATGAGTCATCTTACAGATGAACTGAGCGAGATCACGTGATGCACAGGGACGTTCACTGAGAACCCCATATTTGATGTTTAGAGTTTCAATCTGTTATGATAGTAAAACTTTGTTGAATGAATAATATCTAACATTCCATTAAAACTATATTCAATATTCAACAATCTGTTTAAATCAAGGTTAATATCATTGCCAAAAAGAAAAAATCTTAACACAATCACATATTTTGTTAAGAGGTACAGGTCTTGGCACCTGAAATTAGCACTAATTTCAATAGTTCCTAGATTATTTTTGAGACCGATATAAGGGTGTTTATTCATTTCTGATAGGAAGTGACAGAGGTGATCAATAGGATTTGACAGATCGAATCAGGACTGTTGCATGAAGGATAACAAATGGATGATATTTTCTAGATCATATTGACCTGTTAACTGCAGGGAGTAGTGGGTAAATATTAATGAATGATTTTTCTCATAATCTTAAGTCTTACAGAACAAAAGAGAACTAGTGAACTCAAAGCGTAGCATCCCCCGGTCGGGTACAAATGGCCTGCAGTATATTCAGCAATTGATCTACATACTCCAAACTTGAACTTCGGCTGTATTGTGATACCGTGTACCTTCATATCAAACATCATTACTATAATCAAAGGGAAACCACATTTGGATACATAATTATTGATTTTTTACATTTTTGATAATCTTTGGCCTTTGACATTTGACCTACGTACTCTGAAATCGAATTTACTGTAGGCTGTATTTTGATACCATGTACCTTCACATAAAATTTCATTAAAATTTGTCAAACGTTACTAAAGTTATCGAATGAAAACCACATTTTTGGATACATAATTAGCTATTTTTTGTATATTTAATGAGGGGTATGTCCTTTGACCTACACACCGGTACTCCGAAATCGAACTTAGGCTGTGTTTTGGTACCATGTACCTTCATATCAAATTTTATCAAAAATTTGTCAAACATTACTAAAGTTATTGAACAGAAACCATATTTGTTACGGGAAGGGATAATAAAACAAAAGGCAGAACGTTGGAAAACCAGTCCTCATCGCACTACTCTTGAAGAAAAACCTGTGCTTTTATTCCAGGGAGAATCTGAACAACCTGGTTATGTTATCGGCGACATTGTATAGTGATGGACCTATCATTGTCAGGAAGGAGGGGATTTATTTTTTCCCTGGGCATTTGATAATCTCGCTAACCCTCGTGCATTTGCATGTCAAACTGAGTGAGGGGGTTGGAGGATGGTCCACATACTGGCTTTCAAGTCTTAATCTGTTATGATAGTAACATTATGTTAGATATACAATTGCTGACATTACACTACTTAACAATATTCATTAACATTACATCATGATACAGTTGACATCCTCATTCAGTTACAAAAGCAATACGTTATTCTGACATTTGATAGAAATTGTACTTTGAAAATCAAATTTTACGTAACATAAACGTGTGAAACAAATAAACATGGAACACCTTGCAGTTTCCAAAGCAATACAGAAATAATACAAACGGGGGCTAATAAATGTGATTCATTATTTTGTACGTTTTAAAAGGGAAGTCCACTCTGATTTTAAGTGGTTTTTATAGAAGCAGACAAAATAATTATGTCAGTGAAAGTTTAAGCAAAAAACGATAAAAAAAAAGAGTTATGAAACTTTGACGGTGCGGTCATTCAAATACAAATTAACAACACTGTGACGTACTAGGCAAGCTCTCCTCTCATTTGCCCAATACTAAATAACTACAAAAAATTACATTTTCCCTTAATAAAAATTTCAATCATACATTCACCGTAAATACAATAATGCAACTATGTCTTTTACCCAACCCCTCTAAGAAACAAAGCTATTCCGTAATCAATATAGACAACAAAATGAAAGTATATTAAATTTTCTATACAGAGCAAATTGAAAAGGAGCTTGCAAGAAACGTCACAGCGTTGTCAATTTGCGTTATACCGATGACAACTTCAAACAATCATAACTTTCCTTTTTTTAATCGGATATACATGTAGCTCAAACTTTCACAAATTTGTTTCTCTCATTTGTCTGCTTTTATTTAAACCAACTTCCCCTTTAGATTGAATACTTAGACTCATTAGTATTCACAATTGAAATAGCCATCTATCCATTAGCAATTCCGTAGCACTCTGAATTGTGACAATATGGTATATGTTATTCACTATTAATCTTATTATCTTCACTCTGTTTTTGTATTATGACCGAAAGTTCGACTTTTGCATCCACTTCCTGAAATGTTCAACTTTTCAAACCTGCTTCCTGTTAACGGTGTATAAATAGGGAGAGTAAAATTGTACACTTGCATTTGACTACCGTATATAGAAAAGAGTACACTTCAAGTATGACAAAACATGTAGTGAATTGTAATAAGAGTCCTACAAAAATATGATCAAATCAATACCTTTGCAAATGATGCCATCGACGAAGCTGATGAGTAGAATTCATCGTGAAGTAAGGCCTGGTCTACCTCACCGAGTGTCAGGATCTTCATATGAGGCATCTTACAGATGAACTGAGCGAGATCACGTGATGCAGAGGGACGTTTACTGAGATCCAGAGACCAGATGATAAGAGTCTCAATCTGTATGATAGCAACAGTGTGTTGAATGAATAATAACTAACAACCCATTACAACTATATACAATATTCAACAATCTGTTTAAATCAATGTTAAAATCATTGCCCCAATGTAAAAAATCTTAACACAATCTGAATCACATTTATTTTGTAATGAGGTACAGGTCATGCAGGACACCTGAAATAATTTCAAATAGCTCCTGGATTCTTTTAAGACCGATATCATGCTATTTATTTATTACTGATAGGTAATAACAGAGTTGATCAATAGGATTTGACTCATACCATCGGGACTGGGGCATGACAAACAAACAAATTATATATTCTAGATTATATTGACCTGCTTACACGAGGAGCAGTGGGTTAAGAGGAATAAATGAGCTGGCTCATGATCTAAAGTCTTACATAACAAAAGAGAATAAAAACAAGAAGGCAGAACGGTGGTCGCAAACCAGTCCTCAATCACACTACTCTTGAAGGGAAATGTGTGCGTTTAATCAGGAGGAAATCTGAAAAACCTTATTATGTTATTGACAACATGATGTAGTGTCAGGTCCATGATTGTCAGAAAGGAGGGCAATTTTACCCCGGGCATATGATTCGTAGCAAGTCTATGGTGGGAGGATGATCTACATACATGTACTCGATGTCAAGTCTTAATCTGTTATAATTAAACAAATATTTTGGATATACAATTATATACATCATGATACAGTTGCCATCCTCATTCATTTACAAAAGCAATAGGTTATTCTGACATTTGATTGAAATAGTACTTTATAATACTAATTTTACATAACATTATGGTGTAAAACAAATAAGCGTGGAACACCTTGCAGTTTCTAAAGCGATACAGGAATAACACAAACAGAGACTAAAAGATGCGATTCATCATTTTGTAGGTTTTAAAAGGTAGTCATGTGTCGGTGAAAGTTTAAGCAAAAAACGATTTTAAAAAAAAATAATGAAATTTTGAAGATGCGATCAATCTAACAAAAATTGACAACTCTGTGACGTAGTACCGGTAGGCAAGCTCTCCTCTCATTTGCCCTGTAATAAATAACCACAAAAAAATTATATTTTCCAATAAGAAAATTTGTAGTCAAACATTCACCCTAAATACAATTAGTGCAACTATACATTTTTATGCAACCCTTCTATGGTACAAAACTTTTTCGTTATCGATAGCCTACAAAAATGAAAGTTAATGAAATTTCTATACAGAGCAAATTGAAAAGGAGTTAGCAAGAAATGTCACAGCGTTGTCAATTTGTGTTACACCGATGACAACTTCAAACATTCATAACTTTCCTTTTTTTAATCGGATATTGCTCACACTTTCACAAATTTGTTTCTCTCATTTTCTGCTTTTATTTAAAACAACTTCCCATTTAGATTAAATATTTAGTCTCATCAGTAATACGCATTAAAAATAGCACTTCCATTACCCTCCATATTGCACCATGGAATGAAAAAATATATGGTGTATAGTGGTGTACAGTGATCGCCTAGCAGGCTGATACCACTATATCGCTCCCGCCTATTTTGTCATTTTTTGAAGAACCATCTTATTGCCATCCATACAGAATGTTACCTAAGCATTCAAGCAAATACATGGAAGCTGTAGGACAATCTTGGCTGGATATTTTGTGATACCTGAAACAGATCTGAGAGTGCAACATTTTTCATGATGCTACTGACTTACTACTAGTAGCCATTTACTACCCCATTGCACTAGACTTTTACGCTTGACCAACACTAAACTACAACAGTGTATTGTCAGCTTGAATTGAGTGGGGTGTGAACGATGGAACCAGTGAAGCCCGTTGCCATTTTGCTCATTGTCAGCCTGTCCGAATGGTCAATCGAGAATGTCAAAAGCCCATGTGCATTTATTCGTTTTCTACCACAGTCATTATGTAGACACCCTGTACTTTCTATTAACCATGATTTGAAAGTAAGCAGATATTTTGGAGCAAGGATATCCTACCATCCTAAACACTACTGCAACATTTCAACTTCGACTTCTGGTGTCTGGAGATGGGAATCCAAACCCAGAACCAACCAAACATGGTATAATAGTAATGATGCATCTCCACCTAATGGAGACAATAAAATATAAGCGATCTTATCGTTTAGAGAGGAAAGAGAGGAAGGAGAAAACAAAGGAAAATAACAGTTGTAACAACAGAATCTGTCAGCAGAGGGAGGTTAATTCCAGGTCAGAATGGGGCCAACATGAACAACCTCCACCAACTCATGGACACATCAATTGGACAATCAGAGGTGAGATCCATTATACCAAAAGCCAATAAAAATTGTTCAGGAATAAAGGACATCGTGAATTATCAGCGCCACTGTCAACGCAAAAGAATTTCAATTCATGCAAACCTTTCGAGGATAAAAACGACTGAACGCTGTCATAGCCATGATCAAGTAGCAGCCAGTCAACAAAAATATTTGAACCTTCCATCCTTCTATCTATGCAACGCAAGATCCTTCAACAATAAATTAGATGAAATGGAAATAATTCTGAGAGAAAGGAAAACCGAAATTGCAGCAGTAACAGAAACATGGTTCAGATCTGATATGCCATCACACGTTGCAGAAATTACTAATTACAATTTGTTCACAAAGTCCAGGATGCATACAACCCAGTACAAATGAAAATTGAAGTATCCACAGAACTGGAGGTTCTTTGGGTGAAAATACGACCTGAACGTCTTCCAAGCAATTTCGCATCTGATCGTAGCAGTACCCCCAGACAGTGTGCCTACAGACAGACTGATAGACCATCTGCAGGACACCATGGATCAGATCTTGGGCCATCATCCAGATGTTGGCATAGCGATTATGGGAGACTTAAATCAACTTGACTTAACTACCTTGCTTGCAAACACCAACTTCAAACAAGCCGTCAAGACGCCAACGAGAGAAAATAGGATCCTGGACAAGATAGTGACAAACTTCGGTGGTTTGGTCACCGCTTGTCCCTCTTCGTTATCAAAATTCTATCATGAAACAAATAACGAGACCACTCAAAGATTTGGATAAGAGACTATTTGAGTCTGGATAACAAGGTATGAATGGAGTTCTGTAATCGACAGTATTTCATCAGACAAACAGATATGATACCTAGCTGAATCAGCAAAGAATTTGCATGTGAACTCTATCCCATTGCAGAGACGCCAAGTTCAAAGATCAGCAAGGCGTGACATTTGCATGATTCGGCGCGCAAGCGCGCGGGCGAGGGTATAACACACGTATAAGGTATAGCGTTTTTTCAAAATATAGCGCGCGTGACGTGCGTGAGAGCATTTCCAGACCCTCGAAATGCGTGATGTCACGCCTAATGCGTGATACTTGGTAGCTCTGCCATTGGCCCATATCTTCAGTACCTCACTTGCTGAAGGTGTCGTTCCAAAGATGTGGAAGAGAGCTATAGTTGTTCCTGTCCCAAAAACCACCCCTGCAAGTATCGACAAGCTCCGTCCTATCTCCATGACCGATAGTTTTGCGAAGGTATTTGAGGGTTTTGTGTCGAAGTGGCTGATGCATAACATCGGGTCGCAGCTCGACAATAAACAATTTGGTAATACAAAAGGATTTGCAACGACGCACTGCCTAGTTGACCTATTGCACTGCCTTTATCAACACGCGGAGAAAAGCAAGGCAGTATCCACTCTTGTGATGACAAATTTCCGCAAGGCGTTTGACCGCATAGACCACATGATTGCCATCCAAAAGATGATCTCATTCGGTGTCAAACCTACATTGATCCGCTGGATAGCTGATTTTCTTACAGAAAGGACTCAATGCGTATGCTACAGAGGTGTCACATCAGAGTGGGTGATTCTGAAGGCAAAGGTACCTCAGGGAACCAAACTTGGACCGATTGTGTTCCTAATCGTGATCAACAATGCGCTAGGTGATAGTAATATAGCATATTGGAAGTATGTTGATGATGTCACTTTTGTTGACACGAGATTCGCTGGAGATCAGTCAATTCTGTTGGAAGCAACACTTCAGCATTTTGCCGAATGGTCCATGTCACATGGAATGTCCCTAAATCCTGCTAAATGTTAGAGTATGCAGGTGTGTTTCATGAAAAAGCCCCCAATACCACTATTACTGGAAATTGATCAACAACCTCTAAAGCAATCCACGTCTGTCAAATTATTAAGAGTCCATATCCGCTGTGATTTTAAAGGGATAGTTGAGTTCTGTTGCAGAGGGCGCTACACAAAATAATTTGTTTGTGAGATAATGAAAAACTGATTGTCAAATTTGAAAGAACATACAATTTAAATGACAAAATCATCTGTTTGATCAAACTCGGTTCAGAGACGGCTAAAATATTCATAAATATAACGATTTCTAATACTTGTGTACCACCTCAAATATTAGATAATTTGAAAAAACGAAATAGCGCCTTTTACGTCGTATTTCAGCCAATGCCAATGTAGGCTTTTTTGTTGGCATTTTTGTGTTGGTTATATACGCACAACCAGCCGGCCAATGTATTGTTATTTTAAATTAAATAATTAATTAATGGTCACCGTATTTTTTTTTTAAGCGGAGCTGAACTGGTATGATCGTATTGGCTAAATTTCACACATTTTGGGGTCTAAAATTACCTCCATAGCAATTTTAGGTTCTTAAAGGGCACTAGAAATGTCATACCGGTAGATAAGAAAAAGAGTAATAACCATGCACTTTGAAGGCATTTGCGGTCAAAAAACAGAACTGAACTATCCCTTTAAGTGGAGAGATCATGTTGATTTCATGATAAAACGTGCCAATGGAATAATACACTTTATTAGGATCCTGAAAGGTCACGGACTGCCAATCGAAGATCTCTGCATCGTCTACACCGGTTTCCTCAGACCCCTCGTAGAGTATGCCTCGCCCATGAGGAACGGAGGCCTAACTATAAAAGAACAAGTAGATCGACTAAAAGGGTGCAGAAAAGAACTCTGAAAATAATCTTGGGACCTAATTACCAGTCATATGAGACAGCACTGAATCTAATGAATCAGTCCTCTTTGGCTGACAGAAGGAAGGATCTGTGTTTGAATTTTGCTGAAAAACTGATTTCAAACGAGAAGGTTTCTTACCTCATACCTACTTGTAAGAACATTAGAAACCTAAGCAAATAAAATACCAGAGAACAGTTAAAATATAAAACCAAACGATTTTGTAACAGTCCAGTTCCCTACCTAATTGACTTGATAAATTTACAGTAGTGATCATGCACTTTATATGCATTTGTATAACATGTAAACTTATCCCCAAAGTGATGAGGTAGAGGAGCTGTAGAATTATTTTATTTTATGTGAAATAGTATATACCTTTTTGATACCGAGACGGTTGTACAACCTTGATAATTGATCGTCGAAAATGATAATATAATAAAGTAAATCAAGATTACCATGGTTAACTTTTGTGATGATTGAAAACATACTTACCACATAATTATTACTAGAAAAACCTCAAAATTACCATAATTCATGTCTTTCATTTGATTTCATACCTACCTATCAATTTATAAATATGCTATCCATTAAACTCACCAATGAAAATGTAAAAAGTAATCTATGGATCTACAACCAGTATTCTCTCTGTCAAAATTGTACTTTTTTTACCTTATTTCGATATGTCTGATTTACACTCTCATCCTCAGCATTATCTTATATGTATCTCTCTCTATCTCTCTTTCTCTCCCTCTGTCTTTGTCTCTCTCACACTTTTCCTGGATCTACTGTGCTGTCTGTACTATTTTCCCTCCCTACCTCTCTTTTAAATTTCCTTCCAGCCCTTTTGTTCTCTCTTCTCTCTTAATTTGAACGATCTTTTCATGTGTCATATATGATATTGTGGAATAGATTTAAGCAACTGTTAGCTGTTAAGCGAATTTATTAATTTGTATATAGGTGTACACTGATTTATCTAGAAAATTAATTTACTGCGTGATATGTGATAATATGATTTGCTGGATAATTCTACTGTAGTTTATTTATGTTTGTATAAATATTTATGTTTTTACACAATGTACAAAATTCTGCAATTCAGCCATCTGGCTGCACATGAATTTTCAATAAAACCATTACCATTACCATTACCATGGTTCATATTATTCAATACCAATCTTACAATCCTTATTCTGATTCTGTATTATGACAGAAAGTTCACTTTTTGTTTCCACTTCCTGAAACGTTTAACTTTCTCTGCTTCCTCTTTACAGTGTATTTAAAAAATGGGAGAGTAAAATCATCCACTTGCGTTTGACATTATCAAAAAAGTAGACTTCAAGTATGACAAAACATGTAGGCATTTGCTTAGAGTTCTAAAAAAATATGATTAAATCAATACCTTTGCAGATGATGCCATCAAAGAAGATGATGAGTAGAAGTCATCGTGAAGAAAGAACTCGTATCCCCTACCGAGTGTCAGGCTCTTCAAACGAGGCATCTTACAGATGAACTGAGCGAGATCACGTGATGCAGAGGGACGTTCACTGAGATTCAGATAACAGATGTCAAGAGTCTCAATCTGTTATGATAGTAACATTTTGTTGAATGAATAATAACTAACAACTCATTAAAACTACATTCAATATTCACCAATCTGTTTAAATCGTTGCCTCAATGTAAAAATATATGAACATAATCACATTCATTTTGTAATGAGGTACAGGTCTTGACAACTGAAATAAGCCTCAATTTCAATAGTTCCTGGATTCTTGTTGAGACCAATATAATGGTGTTTATATATTTCTGATACATATAGGTAATGACAGAGGTGATCAATAGGTTTTGACTAATCTGATCGGGACTGGGGCATGATGGATAAAAAAGCTGATTTTGTCTATATCATATTGACCTGTTAACAGAGGGAGTAGTGGATAAATATTATGAGTGGAGGACTTTGCTCATGATCTAAAGTCTTACAGAACAAAAGAGAATAAAGACAGAAGATAGAACAGTGGTTGCAAACCACTTCTCAATTACACCACTCTTGAAGAAAAACCTGTACTTTATTCAGAGAAGAACTTGATCAACCTGGTTATGCTTTTGATGACATTGTATAGTGGCGGACCGATGATTGTCATTAAAGAAGAGGATTTTTTAAACGGGTATATTATGATTCGGTAGTCTAACTGACCCTACTGCATTTGCACGTCCGAATGAGTGAGCAGTGGGGGAGGGGGGGGGGGGGGGAGGGGGGGGGGGGGGAGGGGGGATGGTCCACAAACTTGATGACAAGTCTCAATCTTTTATAATAGTAACATTAAGTTAGATAAATAATAGCTGACATTACCATTAATTGGAAATATATTTTAAACATTGCATCATGAAATCAAATGACACTATCTGAATTTACAGTTTCTTCTTTAAAAAGAAGTTTATATGGATTTTTCTACTTTCAACGAGGGCTGACACATTGTGTTTGTTCTTTTGCTTGATTGATTGTATGCTTATTTTTTAGTCTTGTTCAACTGTCCATTGTGTGCTTTAATATACTGTCTTTCTTTTGTGCGATCCACTTTAATCTTCCGTTTTCTTTAAACTCTTCAGTCTGATTTAAATTGTAAAAACATTTTAGTGTGTTTTTATTTTGTGTTTGATTTTATTGTATCGGTGCAAGTATATCAATTTATGTGAACTCAAGTGTTTTGTTAAATTGATAAAAATAATCATATGTGTGGCTGCCGCTGGTTTTAATTGACAAGTTAGTCATTTTAGTAGTTTATAAGATTTGTATAATTTGTTGATAGAGAAACTTTGTTATTATTATTATTGTTATTGACAATAATTATTTTGATATACCTGTACGCGTGCCCTTAATTAGGATGCGCGTGTATGATATACGCTAAGTATGCTTTAATTGCTGCCTATTCATGCGCGCAACCATAGCAACACGATGTTCTTAATTCATTATGCTTTTGATTTGTGGTTCGATAAGATGTTCTTCGTTCGGTTTGCCCTCTTCATTGATAATTTAGCTGCCTAAAAGTGATAATGTCCAGCCAACGAGGTGAGTCAGGAGAGAGAAAGTTTCAAAGAATTATTTAATCATAATGTTACAATGTTTAGTTTTAAGAGTCAAGAGATATATTATTGTTAGATTGTTTATACTCAGTCAAGTCAATGTCAGTAAGATGAGATGTAGAATTTACTCTCCTGGTTATAACTGCCACTTTAAATGAGGGTACCAACGTAAAACGGATGTTGAATAAGTTATGAACGATGTTTTATTCTCCAACAGTGCCGTGAAACTGTAAACAAACAATGCACAGAATACAATAAAATCAATCAATCAGATCAAAGTAGGATCTATGAATAGTCTATACAAGTTATGTAACAAATCACTTGAAAATATTATATACTGATATATTATACTGCGTATAATAACAAATGTAAATTCTACATCTCATCTTACTGGGCTCCCTTAAAAAGTAGGCCTTGCGGGTCTGAAGGGACAACCCTGTATTTAAAAGAAGACTGAATAAATAAAGAACTAAATGGATATTCAAAACCAAAACGGAAGCAATTTTTAAAATTCAAGTTTGATCGTAATCCATTAACAGGTTCTCAGAATATCGTGATTACAAGCTATTTTTCATATACATGAATGACCCTTTAATCTTTGACTTCATGACACTAAAACTAATCGGTTCATCGGCTCTGCAAGATACATACATGTCCTGAGTTTGAAAGCAAATCATCAGTCGGTTCTATTGATAATGCGTTCACGAGCTACTTTTTTATACATAATGAGCCCCATTGACCTTTGACCACAAGACCCACAAATCTAATCAGTTCATTGGCTATGCAAGAAACATACATGACCCATGTTTGGTGGTAATCAATTAGTTCTTGAGATCATGTATAGACGTTAGGACAGACAACCCGAAAACATAATGCCTCCGGCAACTTTGTAGCGGAAGCATAATAAATAAATAAATGGTACGGTTGACATCCTCATTCATTTACAAAAACAACACGTTATTCTGACATTTGATTGAAATAGCAATTTTAAATTCTACTTTTTACATAACATAAGTGGGAAAATAACGACTATTAGTTGTCGAATCGACTTAAGAGCTATAGAGCCAGTAAGTAATAGTCTGATTTTCAGACCACTGTACCGAATGGTCGTATGTTTTGTGCTGCGCAAAGATTCAATCAGTTTAATTTTGGCCGTTACAAGAAGTGGGTTATTGATGTAGACAAATGCTTATGTACCCTTTACAGCTCATTTTATGTATGTTATTATCAAAGAAGAAAAAAAGCCAGTCAGTCACTTAATAGTGTCTGACAGTGAAGTCTAGTAAGTAAACGTGTTTCCTTGCATAATTTGAATATTTAAATAGGACACTGCTAACGTTTAAATTTTACAGAAACATGTAGGACATACATGGCATATTCATAATTCCTGCAAAGTTTTACAGAATTCGATGTTGGCTGCAAAAGGGACATAGTATCTTTAAGCAATTTTGTTTCACTACATATTTTCATTAGACTATTTGGAATAATAATATGACCAACAAAAATTGGAAGAGCCAGGTTATTCTTTATGTTATCTCTTGTTTTGATAATTTCTTATGTATTTCACTGTTTTTTCAACTCATGTATTTTTTTGGTTTTTGTTGTTATATATATTTCATTTTTAACTAGAATTCAACTTTTTTGACCCCTAAAACAAACACCTAAACTTTAAACAAACCGAATAACCAATATTTTATCTCTTTTTAGGAAAAATGATATTTCCATATATTTTTTACACAAATCACGAAAATGAGCGGTTTTCTGGCTGACATGCAAAGACAAAAGGTCATGTGACTTTGTAACTGTGAGCCTGATTTTCAAAAAATTGTTTTAAAAGACGTGCAAGACTCGAAAGAACAAATTCAGCAAGCGGCGGGGCGTAATCTGTATGCGTTCTTGAACAATCAGAGAAATCATGGAGGGGGGCCATAATGCCCCCCGGCCTCATTAGGGTTAACAGTGTACAAATTGCGAGAGTAAAATCATCCACTTGCATTGGAATATATAGAAAAAATGTAGACAAGTATGACAAAACATGTAGGCATTCACTTTAAAAATATGATGAAATCAATACCTTCGCAGATGATGCCACCGACGTAAATGATGAGTAGAAATCATTATGTAGCGAGACCACTTGTATATATCGTCCCCCACCGAGTGTCAGGTTCGTCAAATGGGGCGCCTTACAGATGAACTGAGCGAGATCATGTGATGGAGAGGGACGTTCACTCATACCCAAATATTTGATGTTAAGAGTCTCAATCTGTTATGAAAGTAACATTTCGTTGAATAAATAATAATTAAAATTCCATTAAAACTTTATACAATATTCAACAATCTTGTTAAATTAGTGTTAATATTTTTTATAAATTTAATGCTTCCTGGAAGAAATTTGAATGGTTTAAACATATTTGCAGCTTGTAGGTTTTAAAAGGAAAGTCCACCCTGGTATTAAGTGGTTTTAATAGAAGCAGAAAAGGTAAACATGTCAATGATAGTTTAAGCAAAAACTGAAGAAAAAGAGTTTTGAAACTTTGAAGGTGTGGTCAATCAAACACAAATTGACAACTCTGTGACGTATTACCAGTAGGCGAACTCTCCTCTCATTTGTCCTGTACTAAATAACTACACAAATTTCTATTTTCCCTTAAGAATCTCTTCAAAATTTTCCCTTTCTGCAATTAGACAAAGTGACAACGTACTTCAAAAGAGATGGTGGTACTACAGACGGAACTGCCGTACTATAAGCGGAATTGCTGTACTTCGATCCTACTAGGATTAGCAGTACAACCGGGTCAGTTTGTAGCTTGGCCGGGTCTGTTTGTTTGTTCATCCCGGTGAATGTCTTGATCTGTGCAGCTAAGCTTGAAGCGTTTCAGCCCCATCACATCAAACTAGTTCTCACTACGTTACGGAACCGTCCTAGAAAATCTTAAAACGGATTGTGGTAGTTTGTAACCCGACTACCCTGTTTAGAGACAGTTCAAATCGTCCTCGTCTCGTTCTTAGTAGAATGTGCAGAGAACTCTTTTCCGTTTTTTTAAACCTCTTTATAACGCTTTTCATAAAATTCCGAGATCCTGAAGCAATTAATTACTCTGCGAGGGAGTAATGCAACTGAGATTTACAGAAATAATAATATTTTCAGAGGTGATCGTGAGCACTAAAAAAAAAGGGGGGGGGATTCAGGGATCTAACTTTTGAGTAAGAAAATTGGGAAAAAATAGGGGGAAAAAGGGAAAATAGGGAAAATAAGAAGAAAATCTGGAGAAAAAAAAGCGGTAACATCGGGAAGAAACAAAAATCAGGGGGAAAAAAAATTAAATCAGGAAAAAAAAAAAGATCCAAAAAATATGGGAAACCGATTTAAATCAGGTAATTATCAGGCCTGCATTTTGAACCCCTTTAAACACATTTCTTATTTCATTTGTAATGCGTTTTGGAGGCGCATATGATGGCGCATATGTAGAAAAATGATTTTTCTTCTATTTCTCTTTCTCTCTCTCTCACACATTTCTGCGCCTCCTCTCTATTGCATAAAGTTTGCGCCCCCTCAGAACCCCCATAGATATGCCATTGTGAAAAGCTATATTGATTATTTCAATAAAAGGGGGAAGTATTTTGCATAGGTTATGTAATTCTGTTTTCTAATTTAGTATATCATCGATTGTAAACCTGATGAATTTCGTAGATCAAGGGACGTTCATTTACAAAAGTAAGAGGAAAAGCATGTTTGCTTTTACCTATTCTGCCATGCATTTAGTTTATTGTTAAAATAAGGGCACTAGGGTTGGAATGTGAGAAAAGCATAGGATTGAATCGTCTCAAAATAAGAAAAATTGTACAAATAGAATTGTTAAATCAGAACTGATTTAATTATTTACTATATAAATCAATGTATCTACCTATTATTGCTTAGTCCTCTAAACAAAGCAGACCATCGAGAAAAAGAAAGTCACAACTGTGCATACCCGCCCCCCCCCCCCCCCTGGAACCCCGCCAACCTCCAGCTCACGCGCGGATCGCACACACACATAATCATCCTCTCACGAGCAGCCCAAGACCAAACTTGGGACATGTCGCCAGACAAGGAGAGGGAACGAAGGGAGGGACATACATGTAGGTAGATACATAGATTTAAATAATAAACAAGTCAACGCAAAGCGTAGCATCCCCTCGCAGGGTACAAATGGCCTATATACATCAGAACAAGTTACCTCCATTGGACTATACTTTTAAATTACTAGGCAAGGAAGTTAACCACATTTTCATATATATAATTAGGTGTTTTTGCATATTTAATGAGCTATGACCTTTCACCTTTGACCTACATACTCGGAAATTGAACTAAGGCTGTGTTTTGATACCATGAACCTTCACATCAAATTTCTTGAAAATCCGTCAAACATTACTAAAGTCATGGATCCAAAACCAGATACGCATATTTAATGAGCTATGACCTTTGACCTACATACTCGGAAATTGAACTTAGGCTGTGTTTTGATACCATGAATCTTCATATCAAATTTCATTAAACTTCGTCAAACATTACTCAAGTTATGGATCCAAAACCAGATTCGCATATTTAATGAGCTATGACCTTTGACCTACATACTCCGAAATTGAACTTAGGCTGTGTTTTGATACCGTGAACCTACATATCAAATTTCATTTAACTTCGTCAAACATTACTCAAGTTATGGATCCAAAACCAGATTCGCATATTTAATGAGCTATGACCTTTGACCTACATACTCCGAAATTGAACTTAGGCTGTGTTTTAATACCATGAACCTTCATATCAAATTTCATTAAAATCCGTCAATCATTACTCAAGTTATCGATCGGACGGAAGGAAGGACGGACGGCAGCGTTTCTATATCCCCTCCGACTTCGTCGGCAAGGGGATAATAATAAAATCAGTTCTGATTTAACTAATTTACCTCAATATTAAATCAATTATGTATCTACCTACACTGTATTATTGCTTAGACCAGCACATATGAAAGCGGGAGGCATGTCCCAAGAAAGAGGTTAGCAGGGGAACCAAGGAAGACTTTGCCGCAAACAACGTCGTCGTAGCAAACAATTTTTTATCTGCCGCAAATCCCTTAAGGCAAACGGCTGTGAAGGAATCAAGAGACATTCAAAAGGCAGTTTCGCGGTGACGCAAAAATCGCACCTTGAAAGAAAGCAGCGGGTACCAATACCCGTGGCAATCGTGAAACCACGGCTCTGCACCAGATACCTGCAGACTGGGTGTCTTTGACGATCCATCTAAAGATGGATTCCCAAGAAGCCAGACAAAGGGCTCAGGGGGATAACAAAGAGTTGACTGTCACTGCGGCCAGTCTTGGTTACTTTCACAAAATAAACCAACGTCCATCAGAGAATAAATCTCACCTCCAGTAACAGAGGAGAAATTAGCCATAGTAATCCGCCTTTGAATAGCGCTTCAAACGTCTATGAAGACTCTAAGCGCTTGGCAGCACAATTTTTTTACTCTGGACCTCGAATCCAGGCCTGCCTGTAGACCAAGCTCCGACCTCTTACAACGCCAAGCACGGCCTAACCAGGCTGGTAATCGTCCTAGCCACCAGGCGTACCTAGTCCGAAAATCTCAAATTTGCCATCCAACGGTAGCGGGAAACCCGCCAGGGAGCTTGTTGTTTGTAAAAAAACAACAGTGACGGACACTGATAACCCTCAGAATTAGCTGGGGAAATGCGTCCAAGAGATATTTCCTAAAGGAAACCTGCGCATCAGCCCCCAAGGACTGGTCAGCATTGGGGATTACCTCTACTGAGAACCAAATAGGGCGCCGAAGTCAAGTGCAAGGCAGGGTACCAGACAGGGCCACGGATCCGGAAAAAAACCAAAGCCTCAGAGGGGAAGGGAGAGACCCGATCTCGTACCGACTCCTCCCACAGAGGAGTAGCAAGGGTAGTGGGAGGTGGAAGCCTAGCCAACACCAACGGGCAAAATGCCTGGGAGAATGGGCGAACCACAGACAGAGCCTTTCAGAAGCCGAGCTTGGCAAGACGGGTCCCGAAACGATAACGGGAACCGGCAAACACCAGACAAGTGTAACTGAGTCCGGTAAGGACACACCTGGGGCAGGGGCAATGTCCCCACCAGCCCCCCTGGGTGACCGATGGACCTAGGGTAAACCCTGTTGCCCAACAAGATGCTTCGTCGCATTGAGAAGCTCCGTCTGAGCGGCTGGAGAGAAGACAGGCCGAGGTAAAAACTTTGTGGTCTAGATCTTATTACCTATTGACTGTGGGAGAAGTAGGTATAAATGAGTAAAGCAGTTGCCTCACGATCTAGTGGCTCAACAGTCATAACCAAATATAAACAGGTCACATTTACGGGGATTGTCTGAAAACCTTGTTGGTGTTATCGTACTTTAAACATCATTCAATGTACTACTCAAAACGACATTGCAATATAGTGGAGGTGATCCAGGATTGTCTGAGAGCAGGGGGATCTTTTTCCCGGGGAATAAGATTCGGTAATCCCACTAGCTCTCCCATATTTACTGACCAAAGAGGATAACAAATTCTGAACATTGATTACTTGTTTTCTTCCTTCTTTTCCATCCACTAATGTTAGTCTTCTATTAAAGATACAATGTCCCTTTTACAGCCGACATCAAATTCCGTAGAACTTTGCAGGAACTATGAATATGTCATGTGTGTCCTATCTGTGAAATTTAAACGTTAGCAGTGTCCTACTATTCAAATTATACAAGGAAACCCATTTACCTTCTACACTTCACTGTCAGACACTATTGAGTGACTGACTGACATCTTTTTTTTTTGGTAATAACATACATGTACAAACTTGTAACAGGTACATGAGCATTTGTCTACATCAATAACCCACTACTTGTCATGGCCAAAATTAAACTGATTGAATCTTTGTGCAGCACAAAACGTACAACCATTCGGTACAAGGGTCTGAAAATCAGACTATTACTTAGGTGATTGCAATCACTTACATGTATGTCAATGTGACAACTAATGATAGTTTTTCCCCACGAAAAGCCATTTTCAAACCCTTTCGTTTTGAGGGTGGTTCTAAATAAGTATCGTCTTTCAAATGCTGTTGGAATGTAACCTTTTCATTTTTTTAAACCTGCAAATGGGACAAAGTACATGTACCTTTAAACTAAGGAAGAATTGGGTACCGGTAGTTACGATTAGAGTTATTAAACTTAAAAATGAAGAGAATAATTTATTTGGAAATATTCTTCCTTAAATCGTGAAACGTAACATCAAACATAAGTATTATATAAATAGTTTAAAGGTAAAGACCAGTATTGGAAACGCCCCAATTTGAAAAAATGAAATGGAAGCTCTTATTACCAATCATGTGAAATAATATGTTTTGACTATTAAATACATGATGATACAAATTTTGCCGGGAAACCGCCTACTAATTGATATATTTGGTAAATTAGTTTATCTATTGGACTGTGAGAGATAAACGCACGTGTCGCGCACGTGTGCGTAGTCCCATATACATCTTTCTGTGTACAGTGCTTGTAACTTTACGAAGACTGGGCCAAATTTCTTATCATTTTGATGATTCCAGAACCTTGCAGTACACACCAATTAATATGCTAGATGATCAACCTTTTCTGATCGATTCCACAACGTTTCTTTCACAATGCAATCGCATGACCATAACTGGTCTTTATCTTTAAAGGTGATTTCCATTCATATTGAATTAGGTATCGTTAGAAAGGTTATTTTCAGTTCTTCATTTTTGTTTTTAAGTTCATTGTCAATAAACATAAGGGGAAGGAGATATAATGGAATAAAGTTACGAGAATCAAGTTTTTCTGAGAGAATTTCGTCTACGATACCATTAGGAGGTTTGGGCATGTGACGTCATTCCGTGGACTATCCACAACACGGTCACCGCGCGCATTCTATTCGCAATCAGATAGCACTGCAGGGTACATATCAGAGTGAAAGTATAGTTATATCGGGATATTAATCATCAGTAAAAATGACAGAAAACAGCTCAGATGAACTCGAAATGATCTTGGAGTATGATGAAGAAGAAGTTAGTAGCAATGATGATGGTATATAGGGGAAGATGATGGTGAATTAGGCGAATTAAAGACGACGAAAATGTAAACGCTGGTCGAATCGTGATACGGGAGTTCAAGCTGCAGCTACTCCAGGAAGCTCCGACGCCGAGCTTCGGCGGGTGCATGCATAGAGAAACATTCAAACAGCGGGTTGGGCGACACTATATCAAAATATGCGAAGGGAGTAATTACAATTTTGACTTTACTAGGTTGCTCGACTTCTCTGAGCATCTGGCTGGCCAGTTGAAATTATAATTTGAAGAATTAGTCTTCGATGGGGAAAAGGGGCTGATTCTTCGTCCTACCCCGACAATTCTTTCCTGTTGTATCGTCGATTCAACATGCATGGCGAAGAGAAAGTACCGCACTACCGCGCCGTCTCTTTGCTGAGTTTTTTTTCGATCAGCAGACATATCATCTAGACCAGTAGTAATTACAAGCCGAGTAATACAACCGTTTTAGCTCACCTGCATTCTGATCGCGGTCTCCTTGCTTAATTTGTTCGAATGACAGACGTTTCAGCTAATTTATAACCCGAGAAAAACAACTTTATCTCCAAAAAATGTCACGCTGCAATACACTGCGGTGAACACTGCACTACGAACGGCTAAGCTGAGCTATCGCGAGTTTTCCCCGTGCCGCGAAATTCAAGTTACGCTAATTATCAAAACAAAACATAGGCGAAGCCGGTTTGTCAGGATCTGCAAGACGATCAATTTTACAGTACCAAAAGTCAATATTTCAAGGAAACCAAACATCGGGAAGTAATTCCAATGCTTATATAATTAAAAGAATATTTATTACTTTATTGTAAATTTGATAAAACACTTCATTAAATATCACAGAAATTGCAAAATCTACTAAAAAAAATGACCCATGTTTGTGTACGTTTTTACATTGAAATAATACATTGTACTTCCGGGTTTAGGAACAGTCCACGGAAATACGTCACATATACTACGTCACGAACGAGAATATCAACGCTTCCGGGTTCCTTTGCTTACACTTTTGATCTTTCTAGGTCTAATAATAATTTAACAGCACATGCAAATTTCTGTCAATCAATATATTTGTATTCCTTATGTAATAAGCATTCCAACAATAGCAAACATGCACAGTTTCACGACTTTCTTCCAAATTCACCTTTAATAAAATATTTCTTCTTTATTTCTTTATTTAAAAATAATATAAAGAAATATACATTTTTTTCCTAAAAAACAAATATCTGTTTCCCATTATTTACCTATGCAATTCAATCTTATGAAATACTATGAATACTATTATCCTGACTGAATATATGGCATCCATTTCATTTAAAAGAGTGATTTACCAAATATACAACATGGATGATACACAGGTTTGTACTGACCTTGGAATTGACTGCTTTATTTGCAAGCACCGAGTAGAAGACGTCATGCATAGTACCGTCGATCGTCACAGATTTAAGTGATCGTGATGAGCAGATGAATTCAGCCAGGTCCTCTGAAGCCGTCCGTCCACATGACTTCTCAATGATCAGGTCATCCTACAAGGTACATGTACACAAATAATATTGTAGGGCAAGAAACATAAACACTTGAAAATAATACCGGATTATCCTGATTAATCCTTTGTATCATCTCTTGAGCATTGTGTGTACTAAGAATTAAAGAGTAATATTGATACTGATTTTAAATAATGTGTTGCCATTTTCCATGTGTATCTTTATCATCCTGGTTTGATCAGTATGCACGTGCAAATCCTATTGGGATTCGTGATATTAAAAGTGTTATATAATTAAACAAGGTTTTAATGCAAATACATGAAAGACGGGTTGTGCTGCAATTAAATGACAATAAATCACCACTCCTATTAAGAGATTAAAGTCCTAATACTCATGGGTACCTGATATGCTTGAGCGCTAGTTACTTTGGCAGCTCGGCTACGACCAGGGTAATATGTGTAAAGCGCCATGAGCGTCAGAACCTGATGGATACCGGCGCTATATAAATAACTATATTATTTTTTTATTTTTATTTATTAACTATTGTAAATAACAATAGTAAATGTTTTTTGTGTACATTGCAGTTTTCAGATTTAAAATATGATCACAGTTGAACCCCTGCCAGATCCATAGAAGTTGTTTTGAACATGCTCCATGATTTAAAAAAAATGGGTGAAAAGAATTTTGAACAGAATGCGTTGAAATATTAGCACATGTCAAGTCTTCAAACCAAACAACGTCATCCTAAGTCTGAGAGAATGAAATTTGAATCAAATAGAGACTGTATAACTCAAAGAGATCATACAAAGATGAAATGTATACGTTGCTACAATTCGACGTTACTTTCCTTACCGCTTCACGATGATTCATGATGAAAATATGCCCTGATACTGTATGTGCCTGCATCTCTTCAGTGATCTTCAGTTCCTTGCCGTACTTAGAGGAGAGATGATCCGCCACTGCTTTAGCCACTGCTTGGTCTTGGCTCTCGTATGCTACATCTACGATAAAGCCATCATCACTACCCTGTCTTGTCAACGCTATGAGACGAGATACGATATCCAAGCCGACCTCCTTCTGCTGGGCCGAGGTGAAGTAAAGTAGGTACCTGTATTCTCCTGCTCTCTTGATAATATCCAATATCAACCTGCCATATTCATTATGGTTTAAGTTATGAAGGGATGCAAGATAAATCCCTGATAGATATTCCTGGAAGAGCTTATGGGGAAACTGCACCGATTTTGCTACCGAATTGTGATTTTTTCTTTTGTCTCGCCTCGAAGGAATACGCTTTTCTTTAGTAAGTACCCCAACTTTACAACCTACATCGATGGACTCTGGACAGCTCTGAAACTCGTCCTCTGTGAATACCAACTGTCTCTCAAGAAGTCCATTGAAGGTAATGTGGCCAATCTGAAGCAGGTGATGAGGAATATCTGAAAGATTCTCCTTCAATTTATCTTCACCAATACCTGATGAAATGGGCTTCGAAAGGTAATGATCAACCAAAAAGTCGACCATCTCATCAAATAGCTGGGAGAATGTTTGCAGCTTGGACATTGCCTCTCGGCGCTCTCCATCATAGTCTTTCCACATGATGCACAGCATGGCTGTGTATATAGGGTAGGGGGCCATGTTCTCTAAGATCACATCGTTGTTTGATATGAATTGGTTCAGATCTTCCGAGGAAGCTGTGTCTGGATGAAAGAACTTGGTGATGTAGGAAGAGAGATTTTCAGCAGAGAAACCTTCTACAGCAATTAATGAAAGCATACACCTTTCTGAGATCGGCATTCTTCCTAATCTCATCTGATCTCCACTGCCGTGATGTGATTAGTACTGTCCCTGAATTGAACAGACGATTGAAAGTGATTAAGGCGATTTGCTGATTGCTGCTAAGATTGACAGCAGACTCATCTAGGCCGTCCAGGACAAGAAAGACTTCATCCGAATTTGAGAGGATGTGCTTGTCTAGCTGCTTGGCTGTGACCGGATTGTTGTCAGAAAGATATGTCTTCACTATCTCTCCAACAGTCTTTTCCTTTGCCTCGCGAAAAAGGATGACAAGAACCAATTTGAAATCTTGGTAACCTTTTCCGTCGATCCAATCCCAAGCGATCTTGGCGCAGAAAGTGGTCTTCCCCACACCACCTTCACCTTCCACCAACAAGCGTTTGGGATAGATTCCGTTGACTTTCGTCTTGAGGAGGTCATCGTATAGAAGCGGTGTCTTGCGCTTTGTACCTTTGTCTTCTTTCATCAACATTAGATTGGTGAAGATCCGTTCAAAATTAAGTAGAAGCTCGTTGTTCAGTGGATTAGCTTGAATCTGACATAGATTGATTGCATAATAGCGTTTGACCTCTTCAGCAACCCGTTGGATTTCCTCCTCTGTCATGGGCGGTATGTGATCACCAACCTGACCTGTGATGAGATTGTGAAGAACGTTAATTGTCTTCATTGACACTAGTGTTTAAACGTAAAACAACATCAACAGCAGCATCAACAACATAACAAGAACAAAACACATGAATCCCACAAATGTAATATCAATGAACATTTAACTTACTTCCCAAATCTCAATTTGAATTTGCGAGCGGATCATGATCAGGGGCTGAGAAAAAGGGGTAGAGGGTGTTTTTGTTTATGTTTTTTTCTTCTTTTCATAGTAGCTGAAAAACCTAAAATTTTCATTATTTGTACATACTTCATAATTATGTGATGAAAATAATGTTATGTTTGTAATTTCCTATCCGTAATGGATCATCCATGTATATGATGCATATTTATATTCACAAAATGGTTATTGATGTTTTTTGTTGAACCCCCTCCCCCAACACTGTGCTTGCGTCTGTGTTTGAAATCACACCAAATGTTTAAGCAGTTGTTTACTTTAGAATTAACATTTCTACTACATGTAGTTTAATAAGATGAACACTGGCAATCACTGATGGGCCGTTTCTGGAAAAAAACTGCATGACAATAATTCCGGAAGTGCCTGGACCACAAATTGCAAGTTCACTATCTTTAGTAAATAAAGCTAGATTGAACCAAAGATAACTTGTGTAATATTATCATTATTACCTCACATAATTCTTGTATATTAACTGAATGATAGACAGTCTGATTTTTTTTAAAGACAGTACCTTTTTTATAATTGCATGTACAATCAAATGTAGTGCTCATCTCTGGACTGCCCAGAGAACAGTTTGAACTTAAAAGAAGATACTCAGATACATAGATAAATATTTTCCCTCTTTTGATATTCATTTTTTTATGAAACAAGATAGATTTCTCACCTCTATTTTTGGAACAGTCTTCTGTTTGTTGTACAGTGAATTTTGCAGATTCTGCTGATGTTGTTAAAAAAATAAAAGGGAAGTAACTATTAATGAGTACTTCATTTCTTATATTGTGGAAAGGTTCAAATATCTTATTATCATGTACTTGATGTAATAATTCTCTTGTATCTCTGCTTCACATAAAAGATTTATTTGAAATTTGACCTGAATCTTGTAAAAAAGTTTAATATTGTGAAAAGTAACACAAATTTGATATTTTCTTAAGCCAGGAATGGCGCTCTTCTGTGTAATGCTTTGTATAAACATATGTACATGTACCAACAAATGTTTTGCTTGCCTTTGGACATTGCTATAAGCGGGGTGGCTTAGCAATTCAATTGTGCACTTTTGTGACTAAAGCACCAACTTTGGCACAGCGGTAGATTAAAAGAGCAATGCGCCATTTATTTGTCATGATGCATGAATAAGAGTCTACAAACTGTAGGTTCAGAGCTTCTGAGACAGTTAATTTCAAATTACCATTGACTTCCATGTTTCCTTCTAGTTCCTATTAGAGAGGATGGCGACCGTAAGCATGGAGGAAAATCGAAAATAATGATTTTGATACACACAAAAATTCACTGACTCAGATTTGCTGAAATATTTTAATTTTGGACAAAGCATACACGGAAAAAGTACCCTGAAGGAGTCATTTTGAAAAATGCGCACATCATAACCCAAAGGCCAAATTTGAGGTGTCTCAACATCGAGTTTTGCTTAGAAATGTTTGACTACCTGTGTGCCAAAGTTGGTGCTTTAACTACTTTTATCACAAGATGCCCAATTGGGCTTAAATTGGACGTTATGCCACCCCACTATCAGTATCATGTCCATGATCTGCCTTGAGGCTTTTGAGTACTGAAAAAAATTGTGTTTTTAATGGTAATTAAAATTCTCTTTTTTCTGTATGAAAGGCATCATTAAACTACTGTTTACAAAGAATCTCTTACCGGGTACGGAAATGCTTAGATACTGGTCTGCCAGGTTATCCAATTGAGCTTTTACTAGTGCAGACCTCAATGCCGCCTTTTCCGTCGAAGATGTTTGTCTATTTTGCCATATCTTGAGCAAATCCAATGTTCCCATATAATTCACTCCTTGCTTGGCGTTTTCTTCAATCTTGCGACAAATTTCTGCGTATCCAAATCCCAAGGCTTTTCCGAGAGCATGGATGTCTGAATTTCTGTGTAGGGCCTCAGCTATGCCCTTCAAGATGTCGTCGAAATCTGTACATTATAATACGGTTTACTGTGAATATCTATGAGTTTGTATATACTTTCAATCCTTATTGCTCCTAAACAAAAAGTACTATATCTCTGAAGCTTTTTAGTGAACACGTCAGAAATTACATTTCATGAACAATGTTGTCAAGGTCACGTGATCCACAAGGTCATCTTCATGGTCCAATCTTAAGTCAAAAGGTCAAGGTACCCCAACATGTACCAATCTTCAAAATGATGGCAGATTTAGAATCCTTATTAAATCTCCTTTCCAACAATACCATTTTTGTGAAGATTGTCCCATTAGTTCCTGAGATACAAGGGTTCAAAGGTAGACAGTCTAGCCCAATTTTTCAGAAAATCTCAACATTTGGTGGGCCGTATCTCTCAAACCCATCCCTGAATGACCTAAAACCTGAGATTTGGAGCTGTGAGATCACACAAGCACACTAAGTTTCATCAAAATAAAAAATTGTTGGGTTAAACCCCATTGGGTGATTTGACATGGAATTGACAAATACAGATGAGGGAACTCTGCGCTAAATTAATGTTTTATGTCACATGAAATGCTCCATCCACTCATTCACTTTCATCTTGTAGACGGTATTCAACATTGTGAAAGTACATGGAGCTCATACAAATTCAAATGTATCAGAAATAATCGTAATAAATATGTGTAACTGCTTTAAAAAAGTGATTGACTAGAAAACAATTCTGTTCATATCTACATTGTATGTGTCACGTCCTCCACATATCAGCGCCCATAAGCAATTTATTTTCAAGTGGACAAATTCTTTACAAATTTTGCAGAAGTAATCAACATAGTTAGAGAAAACAGTTCAATGATGAATATGTTCTGCTCTTAAATTTTGGTGTAGAAAACAACACCTGTTCAAAGTCAATTTCCTCATTTTGGGTTAAAAAATCTGTAAAATGGTCATTAAATTGTGAAAACATGTCATAGAATGCTCTTCTTTTCTTTCTTTTTTACTGCAGTTCACAAAAAAATCCTGTCTTTAAGAAACCAGAATAGGACTTGACTAAATGGCAATTAGGTTTTGAGTAATTGGTTTAAAAAGTCATACAGTGTACGTCTTTTGACAATTGTTTTTCTTATATCTAAGAGCCTAAGAGAAATGATTTAAAATATGATATGAAGGAGAAAAGATTAAGGTCTGGAACCAACTTTTCAAAAAAATGTACATCCTGATTTCCAAGGACAGACATAGAAACAAATCTTTCATTGGGTTTAAAATTTTGACCCTTAGTATGACAAAAAGTGGACACTACCTGTGAATGTGTGTTTGATGGGGATGGGAGTGTGAATGTGCGTATGCATGTGGGTTATACTGTACCTTTCCGTATTCTATCAGCAAGTTGAACCAGCTTAATGCTTTCTAATTTGTTGACTAGTATCTCCCTCGCCTCGCTTTCACGTACTGTCTTCCGCCATTCGTAAAGCATGGAGTAGCCCATCTTGCCTTCCTCAAACTGATTTAGTTGAGCCTCAGTGAATCCTAAAACTTGTCCGACCTTCCTAAAATCTGAGGAATCCATACCGTCGGCAACGAGATTGAGCTCACGCTCGGTCAGACTTCCAGGGATAAATTATAGAAGAAAAAAAAATGATTAATTTCATATAGTGCTTATAGATATTTGCGAGATTTTTTTATAAAAAACCGTTTCATTTTATTATCTCTTGACTTGCCATTACACTGTTTTGATGTTTAAGGATATTGCCATTGCCTGTAATGCAAGCCCCACTAACACTGCAAAATATGAACAGATATGTGTAAGTGTAAAACCTAATAAGAATATGCAAAGCCCCTCTACACATTTTGATTTCATTCATCAATTCCAATTATTAATATTTACCAGCAAAGTCAATGGCTGTTATTCTACGGAAATTTAGGCCCGACTCTGGGTTTAAAGACAAGGTTGAGTCATGGGGAGAGGTGACAAATTATTTGCGAGCATTATCATCGGTAGTATGTAAATGTAGAAGAACATCAGAGAAAAAATATTCCCTGAAAAGCATGGCTCTTAAAATGCATTCATATTCTAAATATGACAAGTAACAGCTTAAAAATGAGGCTCAATTTTTATGCCACATGTTTTTGTAGTCCCATACAGCACATCTTTCTGTGTACATGGCTTGTTACCGTACTTTAATACCATGGGGACTATAATGGTATGAGAAAGAGACTAAAAACTATTGACTGG